GGATACCAACAACATACACACACTAACATGTCTAGATTTGCTGGAAAACCATTCCATTATAAGAAAGGGTGGAAGGGTCTACAAATGTACCCTTTGGTTGGATTTAGCTTTGATAGACCGTTTACATGACACTTTTACCCCCAAGGGGTAGAATACCCAGGGGTAACTGAATTTGCTCCACCTCTTGACTAGGGGCAGAATACCCCTGTTAGACCTGTTTATACGACAAAATTTGCCTCTCAGGGTATTTATACCCCATGGGGTATTTTACCCCGGGGCAAGGGGTGCATGCAAACAAGGCTTAAGTTTCATCATTTATTGAACTTATGACAATAATCTTTTCAACGTTACGAATTTGTTTTACAATACATCACTTCATGTGTAAACAGTACCTATAATCAGTATGGAATATTTTGTCAAATCTAGTTTAGAACAGTTGAACTGAAGTAAGTGGCTACATTTACACTAGTGAGTCTAAACTTTGATGGGTACTATACATATGCACCACTTACTCTACCGAATTCCCAAAAGCCGACGATTTTCTTCAGTGTTATACCTACCAGGCTCAGTTTTAAGGTTTGTGGCAATATCTTAAATAATATCAAGATATTGCATAGGACAAGACGTAAATGAGTCTTGACGTCACATCGAACTATTTTATGGCATCACTGAGTGATAACCTCCAAGACACACATACGAAGATACATGTACCTTGAGCATTAGTGCCCTCGAGCTCGTTTTATCCGTCCATGATCAGGATAAGCACATTTTTAGATTTTCATGACCGACCGCCTCTGCCACAGAACCTGAACCACAGCACCTTGCAAATTCTTACCTTTTGTGGCAATCTCATATTTATGCACATATTTGTTCGTACATCAAAACTGAATTGCCTCCTGCCTCACAATGTTAACAAAAATGAATGAAATTCTATTAAATTTTGTGGTGGGAGTCCGTCCTGTACTACCTGTACCGTGGACAGCAGCTTACCTTACCCTACCTTGCTGAAACGTCGAAGTCCATAGTGGTACAGGAGTTGAACAATGTCTTCATCTTAAACTGGGTTGATGACAACCGTTAGAATTGAATTTCAATGATCGATTATTCCCTGATCGTAAAGGCAAAATAGTGATGGAATTTATTTAAGTGTTAGTAAAAAGTTAATGTAAGTAAATTATTATTTATTTCCAGCCCAGCGGGTACATGTACATTCGTCACTCCCAAAATGTGCAAGAATTTCATCAGTCAAGAGTTTTCTTAAACTTTGCAATACAAGTCAAAACTGCATGTTGCATCCTTATAGTAACTGGTGCGTCACATTTGGACGCCACATGTCTACCATAAGGTTTTATCGGATTACAGCAGGACAACAGGGAAAGCTGAAGTCCTCCCTGTTGTCATGCAGTCTTGTGGATACTGTAGTGTAAAATTCACAGTGCTATGTGAAATCAATGAATTGTTTAGTATCCCTTTATCATCAACTCCAGTATTTTGAAATATCCTCCCTCCCTCCCCCTCTCTACGGGCAGCGTTCAAAGTGTTATCTTTAAAAGATCATAAAGTGAAACATTAAACTTCTCATCACACTACTTTTGAAGATACCCGTGAAGATCCGGTTAGGAATTGGTCTTCAGCAACCCATACTTGTCGTAAGAGGCGAGCGGAATCGGATAGCTTGGCTCGCTGACTTGGTTGACTCATGTCATCGTATCCCAACTGAGTATATCGATGTTCATCAAACATCAAATTGTCATCAAACATCAAATCAATCTTTATTTCGTATATTGAAGAGGCCACAGGCCTTTTGAAGAAACACATATACATATATAATGGGGAATTACATAAATAAAACATATTTAATTAAACAAATTACAGTGATAAAACTTTTTTGTTCTATACAACATTGCAAGACTGTGGATGAACATAGGCAAGATTTTGTAATATATTTGATCTTTCCTGACTGCTTATAAGGGTAGAGAATTTTATGATGCTTAGGTGGATATAGTAATATCTTTTAATGTATTTACATCGTATTGAATTATATGATGGACAGATGAGGGTCGATGAAAGTGATATTCATCTTCGATTTTCATTTAAAACGACAAAGTTTACATATTCTCCCTTCTTAATATAACATTTTTATATCTGCCGCTTTCAATCAACAAATCGTGAGATGAACATCGGAATCTTGCTAATGATCGCCTAAATTTCTTTATATTAACAATACATGATAAGTATACTTCATTGAATAAATCTTTTTAAATTTTGAATAGTAAAACATTTACTTGACAAAGATATTTTCATGCTGTTGATCACAGGATTGTCAGGTCCAGACTCGATTATATACAGACATATAGCTGGGATATTGCTGAGGAAAACACCAAACAAGAAAACTACTTTTGAAGAAACAAATACGCAGCACCTGTTCTGTGTTGTTTGTGTCTGACAAAAGAACTACAAGACAATTAAACAAATTAAAACCCTTCCAAGAACGTCAATTTGTTCTACTTCACATTATTAGCAAGACTACGACTTCTTGCGTTGTAAACTTAGACTAACGAGACACGGAGAAGCACAAATGATCTGTTCCTGTTGTGTAAGGCAGTCGACGTTATTTTGGAAACAGGATTAAGCTTAGAGTTGTGATATGTGAGATGTATGGTGGCGATGATTGCCAAAAGGCGGAGAACAGATGTCTACCTGTCTTAATAGAATCACGCTGAAAGTGAACAGTAAATATTTCTATTCTTTCTCATTACTGCATTGATGCTACGTCACATTGCTAAGAGGAGTCCTGAATGATTGACATTTGTTTTCACTAATCTATCTGCTCGGAATACTGTCCAGTAATAAAATAGACACACACATAAAGGTAACATCAATGTTTTGTGGCCGCCATATAGAAAGACTATTGCTGAGTGCGGCGTTAAACAACAAACACACAACGTTTTATGCCGCACGATTTGTTATTTTTCGGGGACGCCAATTTTATTTCACTGTGAAAGGGGAAGCCGGGCAATTTAATAACAAACGAATATCATATTTATTTAGTAAAGTTTATTCTGGAACGAAATATTATTTAAGGAAACAGTCCCTATTTTGATATATTATTTTGGCACGTGGAACTACAGTCTCCATCCTTCGTATCCTATTTGGTGCAAAGCCGGAACGCCAAGGGTTCGCATTACCTGTTGGCAAAAACAACATTGGCAAAAGATTGTATGTTTTAAGACTGTGTCTACTTGTAAATTGGCGAGCAGGAGTTGTTTTTAAGATAACGCAGCAGTTATTTTCGCACAAAAACAACATCTACTTGCATTCCATCGATTACAATCTAACCCATATTACAAGGTCGTGAACAATGACCCGTGTGCATCAGTGATCTACTTAGTTAAACAATAAACAATGGTCGGGGTTCTTTACTGAGCTACATAGTTGAACAGCTGATGAAGAGAAACGTTATACATAACTGTCCCTAACAAAATAAATATAAATAAACGTTGATGTATGAACACGGGTCGTCAGTGCATTTCTATGTTGTGGAAGCCACATTACTACACTGAAGAAAAAGAAAGTCCACATCCTTATTTGATGGCGACTGAATAAACAGACATGGTTATACGACTGTAACTATGTATTTGATACGGGTATAATACGTACAGTAGGTGTCATGTGTTCCTTACGTTCATAGTGTCCCAGGGGCGATGGGGTAGCCTTGTGGTTAAAGCGTTCGCTCGACACGCCGAAGACCCGGGTTCCATTTCCCACATGGTACATTCCTGGTGTCCCCCGCCTTGATATTGCTAAAAGCGGCGTAAAACTAAACTCACTCCCTCACTCCATATGAATCAAATCCAATTTTCAAACTTATGCTTTCTTTTTCAATAAGTGTAGATAGGTTCAATATTATATATTCCTTCTTAGCCTGTTTGTATAAGCTTAAATGTATACTATTAAACGTTTCGTTTTTGTGGAAATGCACCAACTGGTATGACACTTGCCACTGAACAATAAGTACAGAAAGAGACCAGTGAAACATCCTCATCTGTTTCATATTTAAATCTATGCATAGACTAACAGTGACAAAAACTCTCCTCGAGAGTCTTCGATAACAACAGGGATGAGTTCAACTTTTCCTTTTTGTCGAGCAATATTCCAGCAGCACCGGCCTCTAGTATCTACGTTTCACAACTTTTGAGGTACAAACGAGGGGTCTAAGACAACTGCCACCTGGACAATTGTCCCGGTGGTATTTGTCAGGTGGCAATGTGCGCGTAGCAATTGTCCGGGTGGCAATTGTCCTGCTCCCCAATCGAGAATGCTCTTTCTACACATATATTTCAATTTTACAACGTTCAAGGCCTCGGTTAAGCCTTCAAAACAATTTGTAAGCATGTTGATCCATGTCCAAATGTTACGCATCAGTGACAAAAGTTATACCCGATGCAATACTTTAATTCTGCTGGTGCCATGATGTAATCTCGTATTGTGTTGGGTGAAGTGACTTGCCTTCGCATGCGTCTGTAACTGGTGCTATAGAAACGCATTTTAGCGAACACCTGGTGTCATCCGTGTTTTATAGTTATTTATAAACATACATGTATGCTTATGATATAGTCACAATCGTACAATTTGACATAGTTCTTATGATAATGAAAAGGGATCTGTCTGTGTGTGGTTCACAGTTACTAAATGTGACATCGTGTGTCCAAAGTGGCAGTGGGGTAGCCTAGTGGTCAAAGCTTTGGCTCGTCACGCCGAAGGCCCGGGTTCGATTCCCCACATGGGCACAATGTGTTAAGCCCATTTCTGGTGTCCCCGCCGTGATATTGCTGGAATATTGCTAAAAGCGGCGTAAAACTAAACTCAGTCAGTCAGTCAGTCAGTCAGTGTCCAAAGTGCAACAGGCATTGTATTTTCAGAATATTTCTGCCGGTGAAAATGTCCCTGGTGAGTGACCTGAACAACTGAAACACGTTTTGTTTTCTTTTTTTCCGAAGGACTTGACTGTTACTGTGGCATCCGAGTTTCCCTCATACGAGGTGGAGATTGTTGAAGACTCTGAGAACAGACATATGGTGAACAGACAAAGCTTCGTGGACGAGCAAGAGTGGCATCTATATGTGCACACGGAGTGTGAGAAGAAAGCCATAGTCATTGACCAAGCGGACAATAGTGTAAAGAGATCGGCAGTTTCCGTCAAGTGCCGAGCAGCAAGACGACCCGGTTACTTTGTATGGAATATATTCATGGTGACGGTAAGGTTGTTGTGTCGTATATGCTTCGATGGAGTATTAGAGTCGCGATATCTTGTCATTTCTTTGAGTCGCGATATCTTGTCATTTCTTTGCTCCCGTGGGGAATCCGGGTTAGAGAACCTATGCTGGTCTTAAGAGTCGACCAAATGGATTATGTGGTCATGCTTGGTGTTCTGCTTCAACGACATCGTGTACTGTTGCTCTCACTATCAACCACTGTATTCAGTCATCCCGTCAGATTGTGTAACGTAAACGTTTTGTTCAATAACTAGGACATGTATGTATGCAACTTGTTAAAACACAGACCCGTGAAGATCCGGGTTAGAATTGGTCTTCAGTAACCCATGCTTGTCGTAAGAGGCGACTAACGGGATCGGATTGTCAGGCTTGCTGACCTGGTTGACACATGTCATCGTATCCAGATTGCGCAGATCGATGCTCATGTTGTTGATCACTGGATTATCTGGTTCAGACTCCATTATGTACAGACCGCCGCTATATAGCTTGAATATTGCTGAGTGCGGCGTAAAACTAAACTCACTCACCCACACTCACTGTTAAAACACAAAAAGTGATTGTAATATTATTCATTTTGAAATATTAATAGATTCCTAACAGCTCAACAATCTAATATAGGTTTGTAAAGATCCATTGTCTTGAGACTGATTTATTTGTTTGATGTTATGTGTGTCAAATATCAAATATCATGTGTCCACAGATTATTAACGTGTGACACTGAGGTCTTCTTCTTAGTTTCATGAAAGACAATGTAACTTTCTACGTCACATTACGACAAATTCCAATGGTCCCTTAGCTATCGAGTTCAATAGATTTCACTGCAGACGAACAACTTTCTTATTCAGTGTGAAACAATCATCATAAGCACTGTTTTTCTGTAACATTTCCGCAAGGGACACGCATTTCAGGAGGCACAACAATTCGCCTTGCATAGTTGTGTCCCTTGGGCCCGCCAGGACCCTATGATCGTGGGTTCGAGACCCAGATTCGCCGCCATTACGCGACTTGGTTTGCCAGCTCACTTTTCACCAAAGTGGTAACCATCTTTGACTCGGCGTTTCCTCCCACACAATATTCAAGTTGGTGTTACAATCGATCGTCATTCCTAGTTCCGCCTCATGTGTTTGCATTTCTTTCAGTTTCTCATCTGCAGTCTGGCATTCGCCACATTTAGTGTTGAGAAGGATCTACCCCAGAACCGGCTTCAGCTGTCCTTCACGCTTGTCCTCACCGCCGTCGCGTTCAAGTCAGTCGTCAATCAGAGTCTACCGCGGATATCCTATCTTACATATATGGTAGGTGACATCAGTGCACATTCAAGTCAATCGTCAACCAGAGTCTACCGCGGATATCCTATCTTACATATATGGTACGTGACATCAGTGTACATTCAAGTCAATCGTACTCAATTTTCATGAATGCAGACTTGATTCTCGTCACTATATGCCTGGAATAATGCCGATGTGGCGTAAAGCCCAACTCAACTCAACCAGTCTTCAACCAGTCTTCAACCAGAGTCTGCCGCGGATATCCTATCTTACATATATGATACGTGATATCAGTGTACATTCAAGTCAGTCGTCAACCAGAGTCTACCGCGGATATCCTATCTTACATATTACGTGGTACATGACATCAGGGTACATTCAGGGCAGTCGTCAACCAAAGTCTGCCGCGGATATCCTATCTTACATATTACGTGGTACGTGACATCAGTGTACATTCGTCAACCAGAGTCTCCCGCGGATATCCTATCTTACATGTATGGTACGTGACATCAATGTACATTCAGGGCAGTGGTCAACCAGAGTCTACCGCGGATATTCTATCTTACATATGTGGTACGTGACACCAGTGTACATCCAATATGGCCTAACCATATGTACAGCGGGCAAATCCAACCTCTCTTTACAGGAGTTTGTAGTTGCCACAGTTTTAACGGGTGTCCAGACAGGTGTATAACAGCGGGGTAACCAACTCCAAAATCTCAAAGTACTTTCATTACAATACAGTAAAGTCTTTGTTAGATGATGGTCCAGTCAGTATTCTTATCGGCATTGCAATTTTAATTCTTAGATGTCTTCACATGTGCGAATACTGTTGAACAACACTACGTCACCTTTAATTACAAGACAATCCGTCTAAATGGCATTCATATTGTGAATTGTACATAAGTTTCTCTCATGCTGTACCCGTGGTAATATGGAATTGGCCTACTTCCTACACTACTTGACGAATATAATATCATAAACTCCGTTTGTCTTGAACGATGGGTATTTCGTTTAATATGTTCGACAGTACTCAGTCCTTCAGCCAGACGGGATTTTACTGTACACGAGAGGAAAAGTTGATGCACTCTAGATAACTCTTTTAACAATGGCACATTTTCAGGATAAATAGTCACTTATGTTACCAACGAGCTTAACAACGTGCTTTATTTTCAAATGATACGTATCGCACTGAAAAGCTGGTATTTTAGCAACGCATTCCAAATGTCCATATGTTGTTGACAATTGTATGTTTTCAGGATAAATATTTACTAACGTCAATGGTAATGCTGTCGACGGTGTGTGCATGGCACGGTATCGTGACGACGTTGTTGAAGGACCGTGAGCACGCCGACAAGGTGGAGGTGATCGTACTGTCTGTACTGGTGGCCCTCTACATCCTCTACAATGCCGGCTTCATGCTGGCGATATATGTAGTAGTAAGTAAAACTAGACACATTACTACAGTAAAGAACGATTTGCCGAGTTCTGTCCCCTGACCATGTCAGGAGCCGGGTTCGACAATTATAACTATTGGTCTGTCAGCACCATATCCGCACTCGTGTCATAATACATTACTTGGGTTTTAAATATATGGGTTTTTCAGCTGTTATGGCTGAAATATTGTTAAAATACATACACATTTTGTATTTAGAATTTCAAGATTGAAACCTTAACTGTAATATCCACGATTAGTATAAATCCATGTCACAAATAACGACTTATCATTGAGGTTTGGGTAGCTATGTTGTGTGTTATGTATCCTTAAGGCGCGAAACGTTGCTTTGCTATATTGAACAAACTTTATGGATAAAAACGTCTTTTTTCGTGAGTGCGACGTTTCGATACAGATTCTTGTACAGTTGTCAAACAGGAATGTTTTTATACGTTCCGATACAGATTGTTGTACCGTTGTCAAGCAGGTATTCTGTATCGAAACGTATCGAAACTAAAAGAAGTTGTTAACCGTATGCTGTCACTAATAGTTGTGGCATTACACAACAGGCTTCGCGGTGTATTTGTATATAGATCAGTCCTTCGTAGCTATTAGAGAATGTGAACTCCTTTTAGTTCCAGACCTCATGACCAAACCTGCCCTACGTGCTTAAATAATAAACCAATAATGTCCTTTGGATAGAGCATAATATCAGTGGATCCTATTCTGTGTTAAAAGATGGTGCTTCTTGTCACCCTGCCTTGCGCTCGGCATTTAGGGAATAGAACAAGGACTGGTCGGCGCGGGTTTAGTACTATGTGTTTCAAGGTATCCGCGTTAAACAGCGGCAAATCTCAGTGGGGTAGCACTGTAAAACCGAGAAAAGTGCACAAATACGTGCACGCACGTCGCTAGTGAAATTATCTTGAACGCTACGTTTACCCCATTTCGGCGCACCTATAAGCCTACAGCAGAAACAGAGGTGTAGCATCCATTAACAAGTCATAGTTATTAGAGATTGTCTCTCATTCTGTTCCAGCCTTACAAGAAACGACGAATAATGGCCCAGAAGGATAGGGAGTATAAAGTATGTATGTCACGTCCACACCTTTCTGATTCCATTTCACACTTACCAAAATTATATAAGAATCTAAGTGGCATATTATAGAACACATATTTATAGCATGGTTGTATTTTCTTTATATAATTCGTTTTCTTATCATCCCGGATCCTGAGTCGGGGTTCGAATCCAGTAAGTTTGGATTCCACCATAGTGGTACAATTCTACGAGCAATGTTGCCATGGTTTTCACACGGTTTTCATGGTTGAAACGCCGCGGTATAACTGTAATGCTGTAAAGCGCGATAAACCAAAGTCACGCAAACATTATCATACCATGTCATGCTTCACTTGAATATATTATCTTCGTACACCGCAGCTAGTATAGTTGACTGCACTCTTGATTTTATGTTATCTTTATTGTGCTTGTTTATGATATCAGTCGTTTCAATCACCTCTGCACATGAACATCATTACGTTCCATATGTTCGTTTTAGTGCATATCTGGCTAGGCGTGAATTGCTGGTCTGCTTAGAAAGCAACATTATATTGAACATTTTATTGGGCTGGGTGTATAGTACCTAGTGAAGAGGTTGTGTTTACATCACCAGTCAGCTTTCTTCTCCTCCTTCTTAAGCTGAATATTTTACGACCGCTTCCAATGGAACTGATCTCGCACCTTGGGCACGCTTTGTGTTTCAGGGTACCGTTGCTCAAAGCGATCTTAGCGCTGAGGTGACCGTAACTCCCATACCTTAACATAGACTTAAGGTAGTCTTAGCGCTAAGGTTGTATTGTACAACGGCAGCCAGGGTGCTGGAACAGTTTTGTTTTCGAACGTGCAGACAGTTTCGTAACCAAGTCAAACCAAAGGTTTTTAAGTCATCCAATATCGGTTTGAACTGTTAGGCATGAAGTGAAATACCCTGTTAAGTTTATATTTAAGTATAACAAGGGTGTATGACCTAGCTGAGATGAAACTCGAGTACGACATATGTACGTGTAGACTAGTTTAATTATTTATACACACTTTTCGCTGTTCATTGTCATTCTAATAAATTACAATAATGCATCACCTATAAAATTCATCTTATTACCAACCGCCTCTGCGTAGCTATCATGATTACCATATATAATGGAGCTGCATCAATGGATCGTGATTCTGCATTTAATGTTCGAAACGAACTCCTTACATTTAAGCATGTCTTTAAAACACACCCGATTTTTCCACGACAATGCACAATCTATCTATGTCTTTCTTTATCTATCCATACCTTTGAATACATAATAACATATCAGTTTCTTTGAACGTTTAGTTATGATTTCAATAATTATGTTCTTTACGATTCTATTATCTATGTATACAGTAAAGGTCACTTGAAGTTCATTACTGCTTCGTCGGAGTCTCAAACGTGTTATCTACGTTTTGGAATATTTAAATATGTTTTGTAACTTTTATCTGAATTTGTATCTTCACCACAGGCCGTGTTTCGCTTAACATGTATCAAGCATCAAGCATTATTAATTTCAGTTTATTTTGTAAGCCATATCAGATAACATTTTGGTCATAGGTACTAAATTTGAGCCTCACATTGAATGAATTTTGTAATATTGAGTTTTCCTGTTGTGGAAACCATAGAGGTATATCAAAAATAACGTGTGTCAATTAAACATAGTGCTTCGCTCTAATAAAGCAGTATTCAACAAGGGCCTTTGGCCTTTGCAAAATGGGCCTTTTTGAAACGTGCAGTGATCAAGTTACAACAGATCACTTTATTACATTTTCGTCTTAGTGAGGCTTAAAACGTTATCAACGGTCGTTGCGTTTGAGTGTAAAATTAATTCTGCCACTATCGATTTAAATTGCATTTTGAAAAAGAATAATTGATCTTTTTCATTTTAGTTTATTATTTGGGATTCCGACGAACATGTAGTTAAGTTACTGTCTCCTGTGCATTTCATATTTCAAATGTATTTATTATTAGGAAATATACACAATATGACTCTATTAAATATTATATAAAATTACATACTGATATTAAGGTTATTCAATACATGTTCTATTTATATCCATTATTGTTGTTAACTGACTTACCTTTGATTACCTTCACATATATTGATTACTAACTGCACACTAACACTATTAAGCATCCGATATATCCCCTGTGACGTCATGACTTAGGGGAGATAACAATGAAGAGTAAAAGGGAATTCAAGTCACGTGGATAATGCTTATTTTCCTTGTAGATACTCCATAAGTCTCCGTAAGTGAGGGAATCCCACAGAAATCTGCGAAACACGGAAAATGGGTCAGTCTTATGTTTAAAGATTCGAACCCCAGCTTATGCTTCAGTGATTTAGTCGAGTAGTGACCCTGTGTAAATCCTTATCAGCCGCCTGAATAGACTCTCTTACTTAAAACCGTTTACTAACACCCCTGTACAAATATATGGGGTTCTGTGAATGGTAGTCGTACCTTTTCGCTATTGCTTTTTCCCATGCTTTCGTTTATTTTCGTCTGTTTGAATCAGCGATTACATTTTCAACGGAAATTGCCGAGTTGTGCAGAGTGTTGTGTTTTTTAACATTGTTGTTTTAATCGTTTAATCCTCTTAATCATTATGATCACGAAAACAAACGATGCGTGATGATTATTTATATTATTATTAGCCCATCTAAATTTGTATGTTTTTTGCCTAATTACGTAGTTTCGCTTGTGTTTGAATGCTTTACTAATATGTTTTTTCACGTTTCAAGAGATTTGCGAGTGCGTGTATGACTAATCCTGTCGGTTTATTCGAGTCATAATCCATTCAGCTGACGTTCTGTTTTTTGCTGTTTTATTCTGGAATTCATTATCACAATGGATACGAGCAAACACTCTTTTTGTGCAAACAATTTGTTTTCTTTTCTAGTGAATACGACGTATTATGTTATGTGAACTCTTTGTTATTTAAATTGTACGCACGAACTTATTCTATTGGCACACTCTTTGCATTTGAAACTCGTGGTCTTTTTATTCAAAGAAAATTAGGGTGACAGGTAGCTTATTGGTTAAAGCGTTTGCTCGTCAGGCGAAGATCGATTGCCCACAGGGGAACATGGTGTAACGTTTATTTCCGATGTCTCCCAAAGTGATATTGCTGGTGTCAAACCCAACTCACTCACTAACTCATTATAACAATGGGTAAATTGTGTGGGGGGTTTTGTGTGATCCGCTGAACATGGGTTCGATTCCCAGATTCGTACCGATAACGGATACTGGCCTACCGTTGATTGCACCAAAGTGATAACATTTAAGACACGGACTGATATAACAAAATAATATAATGCAATACCAAACTCACTCACTCATAAACTACGTATGACAAAAGTAATCCTTTGTTTGCCTGAACACGTTGGTATCTGCCATACTCCTCAACAAGAAAAATGAGAGCGAGCTCACGAAAATACTGATTCTTGCGTCTGTTATTCATTAATTTAATTATGCACAAAATAATCGTGTGTGTATAAAATAACATCTGATGCTCAGAGCAAAGCATCTCTTGCTCACGACATAGCACGTACAGCACGTTAGATTAATAATATTTTATCTTTTTTCCTTCTTTTTGTTCGAGGGCGTGCTTATTTAATGTGCCCCTGAAGGCATAACGTTAAAACAATCTGAAAAAGCACTGATAAAGTATCTAGACACTGTCACCCTCCCTCAACACAACCAACTGCAACATGGCATGACAGGCACGACCCGGCAGACACTGGACAAACTCAATCCCAAAGTCAGACCACGATGATCCGAAGTCAGAAAACGCACTATCCCTATGCAAGCCAATCCCTCTTCTTGATAACTCACAATCCATCTTTCAGATGCACAAAACCTTTATTAAAATACAACTTTTGGTCAGGCAACGGACAATAATCCACATCCTTCGGACAGCCCTTCTGTCAGACAAAGCACAAATCCTCGGTCAGACCTCCCACAATCCTTTAGTCAGACCACGCACAATCTTCAGTCAGACCACGCACAATACTTCAGTCAGACCACGCACAATCCTTCACGTCAGACCACGCACAATCAAACTGTTATATAACGCATAATCCTCGGTCACAACCCTCCTTTAGATCATGCACAATCCATTGGTCAGTCAGACCACGCACTATCCTTCAGTCAGACCACGCACAATCAAACTGTTATATAACGCATAATCCTCGGTCACAGCCCTCCCTTAGATCATGCACAACCATTGGTCAGTCACAGCCACGCACAATCCCTTCATGCACAATCCATTGATCAGTCAGACCACGCACAATCCTTCAGTCAGACCACGCACAATCAAACTGTTATATAACGCATAATCCTCGGTCACAGCCCTCCCTTAGATCATGCACAATCCATTGGTCAGTCAGACCACGCACAATCCTTCAGTCAGACCACGCACAATCAAACTGTTATATAACGCATAATCCTCGGTCACAACCCTCCCTTAGATCATGCACAATCCATTGGTCAGTCAGACCACGCACAATCAAACTGTTATATAACGCATAATCCTCGGTCACAACCCTCCCTTAGATCATGCACAATCCATTGGTCAGTCAGACCACGCACAATCCTTCAGTCAGACCACGCACAATCAAACTGTTATATATAACGCATAATCCTCGGTCACAGCCCTCCCTTAGATCATGCACAACCCATTGGTCAGTCAGACCACGCACTATCCTTCAGTCAGACCACGCACAATCAAACTGTTATATAACGCATAATCCTCGGTCACAGCCGTCCCTTAGATCATGCACAATCCATTGGTCATTCGATGCACAATCTGTCTGTCATATAACTCACCATTCTCGTCACTGACGTCATCAACAAACCCACTGGCTTCAGTCTTAGCCAAAAGGAAGCAAGGATTTTATTAAAACCTTCAAAACTTCACTGCTGATAAACATTTAATAAGGCCCAATTCAAATCATTTCTGTCGCAGTAAACACTTAAATCTACAAATTTCTTCTGTATAAAACTTAATAATGCTCTAAAACTGGCCAATAGGAAACTGTGTCTGTTTGTGTCGTTGGCCTGTTTATCATTTTGTTTTGTTTGTTGTAAATAATCGAGTTTGGACCAGACAACCCAGTGATCAACATCATGAACATTTGTAATGCGAGCCTGACCACCCGATCCCGTTAGTCGCCTCTTACGACAAGCATGGATTGGGTCTGTTTATTATCATATATAAGAAATCATTTAAAGAATGCGTTTATCCCAGTCAGTTCGGAACTAAACAGGGGGAACAATGGGAAGGTTGTAATGTCTACCAAATATGATGAAAAGAATTCTGGCTTGACTACACATATGATTTAATTACAGAGATATCATTAGCCAGTCACAGCGTGCTCAAATGCAATAAGCCCCATTAATGTTACGATGTTGTCTTGTAATTTTCTCATTTATTGTGACGTTAGTTTCGTACAAAATGTCAGAACAATCGCGCGTGGCATTAATGAGTTGTAATTACACCCGTGAAGCGAAACGTCACACAATTAGCTGATAAGGAAATAACAAATTAATATTTGTTCGTCGGAGTTGGAATGTTCTTTTGAACTCAGGCTGATTCCGCCGTATAACTGGTTCCAAGAAACCTATGCTTAATGTAAGAGACGACGTAATGGATCTGGTCGTCAGGCTTGAACACGAGTCAGCGAGTCATCGTACCCCAGCGTCTGATCGATGATCGTGATATCAATCACACGGTTTTCTGGTCGTGACACGATTACTTGCAGGTCACTGTCATATAGTCGAACAATTATTCACGTAGGTGTTTAGGATATAACGTAAATGTTACCTCCCTTGAAGGATCTTTGCCAAGTTTATGAGAATATACTACCCATCAAAAGTTTAGACTCGCTTAAATCAATCACTATAAGATATGTATGTACATATGGTTACAACCAAGATGAATTTTTCCACTAACTTGGGGAAACATCTGGAAACCTTATGCAGATTAATTGCACGAGGATCATGCATCAAATTACTGAAAAGCATTGTGCAAATATCGTGCATGTGAACAGCTGCGTTTTGGTGTAAAGTTTTGATAACAAATTGCCCTTTTTCACCGAGTTTCATCATTTAATGAACACATGACAATAAACTTTTCAACGTCGCGAATTTGTTTTACAATGCATCAGCTCATGTATAAACAGTATCTTTAAACTGTATGGATTATTTTTTTAATCTAGTTCAGAACAGTTGACTGAAGTAAGTGGCTACATTTACACTAGTGAGTCTAAACTTTTGATGGGGAGTATATAAAGATAAGCCATTGATACCTCATGTCTGACTAGTTATGATTTACGAGTAGTTTAGTCACGTTTTCTGCGATTCTTGCGAATGTCAAAAAACATTTTGATGTTTAACCTTTTAGTGTTGTATTCAGAATGTCATTTGTTATAAATAAAAACCTCCGACTTGTATCCTACGACCAAATACTGGATTTGTTGTGGCCTAACAGCAAACTAGCTGATAGTGATTGTTTATTGTGGTAGAAGAGATGTATCATGTTTATGTATGCACATATTTAGAGCTTATGTTCATACATGATCATTCAAATCATTTCAATGGTAGTGGTTGTATCTGTCACACAATCCTCAAGAAGTGTGCAATGGTCTGGCTCATCACATCCTACATTAGACATCGCACATGTTGCAAAGACACTGGTGTTAGTGTCGACCAACGAAAATGTTCATTGCAGGATTTTAATGTTTCTCTGCTTCGTTTGAGTTAATAAATAAAATACACTTAAAATTATGGTATTTGGTTAAATCCTGTAAAACATCTGTTCCTTGAATATCAAGGACCTCCGGATACAGGGACAGTCGCCTTTCCATGTCTGAACTTTAGAAGTAAAAGGCCTGGTGATCCTGTCAATTATGAAATACGCACATTTCGACAAATACCTCTTTCTCATCTAACATTGAGTACAATATGGTTCGAAGATTAGTTATCCTAGTCACTGGCTACACACAGAATCAGATACTTCAAATTTTCAAAGACACTTCCAAGACTGTTTCAGTAGAACGTGAAAATAGGCATGTTCCCAACTCTTGTGAGCACCCATCACAACCAACATAGACATTACAACGGACCCAATCCTTTGTTTCCGGGCTTACTTTGCTACTGATATATATGCCTCTATACCCAACATACAGAAGTCAAAACACATATATGCTTTGTTGCACCACCTTAGAATATTACTTTGACAACGTAAAGACACACATTAGTATGATACAAGTCTTCATCTTTTACTCGACCATTCTCAATTTGCATCTGTTTTAAAGGGTTTCCATGTGCCCGAAAGTTCCATATTTAAAGGATCTTACGTTTCTTTGCAGGAAGGTTGGCAACATAGAGTGAAGGCAAAATACTAGCATCTAAAGGCCTATACCCGAGTCCCTCAATTCTTAACAAGAACTGAAGATGACCTTACCGAAAAACGTTCCCGAAGCGTTCTAAAAACGGTACAGTTGACCTTCTCAGGACCTGTAAGTCTCTACTTCTGCTGAGCAGAGGTCACAGTAGGTCAAGTCAGAGGTCAAGGTTGCAGACAAAGGTCGAATTATGAAGACCAAGGTCATCAAACGCCATTGAACAGTCGGCATGTCCGTCGCAGATGTCGGTCTTTCACAGAAATCCGCAACCTAGTCAAGCGCAAGATTTGGACAACGTGTCAGACGAATCACTCGTGTCTGAAATCTGTGAATACCATTCTTCATGAACTTCCCACGGCAAACAGATTCATCGTTGACAGTGTCAGAGGTTGTCCAGACATATCCTGCATCTGGAGGACACATACGTACACAGGTGCTCCGGAGGATGACACTCTCCTAGGCATCCACATCGAACGTTGATGCCACTATCTTCTATCCATCTTCAGCATGGTAGGACCATCAGCACCATGTTTATCTAGTAGAGGTTCGTCCTTCAAGCACACAAGCCAACCCCTATTCCGTGTTGGGAAAGTAAGGGCCACGGGACTCTCTTCTCCGAGAGACAATATCATCCTTTATAGTAACTGGAAAACAGCCCTGTCCCCCGGTGCTCACCGGAGCACGAGATCCCTTCTCTCCTGAAGCTCACCTTACTACGATGTGCACAGTACGTTGGTGGAGATATTTGTTGTTACAATGACACGAGAGATCAACTCGTGTAGTATCATACTATCCGAACGCCGACTCTATTCAAGGGAGTTACTGAATATATGCACCTAGAACTTTGCACCTGTTGGCAAACAGTGTAACAACTTGTGATATATATTCACCACAAGCAATAACTTATCATGGTACAATTTGCACCAATGTATATATCTCATACCTCTTACCTCGCATAGTTGTGCTAATATAGGGAAAAGCTGCATTTGGTGTAGATGTTTGTCTAAACAACTCATCAAACAAGGTAGGTCGTTAGCTTTATGACGGACATTTCATCTTTACAACACGCCACCTGTCGGCAGACGGAGAAAGAAGCTATGGACCATTCCGAAAAGAACCATCTCAGCGCTATGACTTACGTAAATCTAGGTATAGGAATTGGAGTTACGACTTCTAGAGTTACTGGGTCTTAGGACTAAGATCGTTTTGTGGAACTGGGCCCAGGTCTTGAGCGTATTTTCTATAGATCGTTGTTGATTTCAGTGAAAACTAGTTAACTCGAACATTACCTCGACATATCGCTTTTGACGATGTCACTTCAAGGTTGGACGAATAAGCGATATAGTATAGCGGTATAATTTACTGGTCAGTTGCATCAAAATAATATAGATTCAATGTCATTGTGCAGGGGAATTAATTATGATGGAACAGGACTCACTGAATACACAGACTGTAAGTATGGAGAACAATGGATAGATTCCCTTCTGTTAGCATTACATATGGTATGTTACTGTCATGTTCTGCCTGTTTAAATTAGAGTCATGCATTGTGCCATAGAAACCTGGGGCACATCACATGATCATGTTTGTCCTAGTCTTACAATTTCCATGTAAAATATCGGTACCCCCGTTTCTTGAAATCCGTCTAATTGGATTTGCAAAGATTTCGAGTTTATGAGAATTCATGTATTTATGTATCACATCACCGATATCTCCTTCAATTTATGTGTGTGTCATATCACCTTCAAAATAATTAATACGTCATTAATACATCTTTAGTGGAAGAATATCGTAAATCCGATTTAACTATTCGTGTAGTTTCTGAATGTACGAACGTTGATCATAAATGTGGACCTTACCCCACACAAAACAACACAAAAACTTGTTTGTGAAGAAAGAAGTATGTTTTAACTTTCAGCAGTATACCCAAGCAAATATGTAGTCTAGGTCGTCTTTGTATTGTATGCGTATATATTCTTAATATAGAGTAAACCATCCTCTCTCAGCCAACATACTGGATAATCGAGGGTGGTTGGCACCTCATCTATTTTAGATCTTGCTTGAGACATTGTGACAGTACAGAACTGGATGAATCCTTATATTTCGAATCATCTAACATTGGCACACCGCTTGTCTCGAAGTATACTGCAAACAAAGGGAAGAAAAAATTTGATAATTCGATTTCAACCAAATGGTACAGAAGCTTTCAAAATGTAATTAGATTGTATTTGCCGAAACACTTATGCATGTAACAAGTACATCACAATCCAATAACCATTTTCCCTTCGTTACATTTCATCAAGCATGGATGAATACTTTCTCTTTCCCGACAGATTATGAATAACACGATCTATTTCTATTGCTTCAAAGGCGTTACGTTCTTTTTCAACATTCTGTGTCTTCTCGTTATCTAAACCCAAGGGGTGGTGGGGTAGCCCAGTGGTTAAAGCGTTCGCTCGTCACGCCAAAGACCCGGGTTCGTTTCCCCACATGGGTACAATGTGTGAAGCCCATTTCTGGTGTCCCCCGCCGTGATGTTGCTGGAATATTGCTAAAAGCGGCGTAAAACCAAACTCAGTAAGTCAGTCAGTGTTTCTGAAACGTTCAGTTGTTCCGTTGGCGTTAAGTTGAATTCAAAAGTTACCATTTATTTATTGTTCATGGCACGAATTTCTTAGAGGAGCGAAATGTAAGTTTTAGGATATAATATCGGTTACGAAATCAAACCTAGTATAAGCCGAACAAGACAATCTACGTTCCTAAGTACCGGTACCCAATCGTGGATAGGACTTGTGCTGTTTATGAAGAATTCCTTTAGTTCGCTGTAGATATCTGATGGAACGCTTCGTATAACCGATGTCCTCAAAAATATGAACGCTGACAACACAGAACAATGAGCTCTGCAACATACAATGATAATTGTACAAAGATAATTATATACTCATGCCAATAATGGTTGTCACCCCCTCCCCACCCCAACCCCACACACACCTCACACCCCCACCCCACAGCCCCTCTCCAATTAAAAAAATTGAAGGGGGTGACAACCATTATTGGCATGAGTATACAATGATAATTGTATGTTGTTCAAATCAATATAGGAAAATATTTATCAGAATTGAACCTTCATTCTACTTATATGGTCTGTAAAGGATCTTTCTCAAGCTGCAGAATTGCTATTCTTAGCAAATGCCAGGATCCGCTGATATCCACGGACTGTCAGTATCATTCTCACACCAAGCTCATGGGTTCCACCAGTGTGGTTAACTTCTATGATGAATCTGGCACGACTGGTTTAACTGAGATGCTAGTGGACCATCTTTATCACACCCCTTATCCACTCGAGATAACGAGATTTCACTTCACCTGTAGTGTTACTTGGTACCAATCGCCTTAGCTGGTAACATCATTTGATGTGAATTAACATCTACCTGTCCTTAAAGGTGGCCTTGTCACCACATAGAATGGTTCAACTAAATTGTTTTCAAAAACCAGCTTTTATCTGCCAACTCAAAATTGATACTTTGATTAGCGGTGAACTTGGCCCAGTAGTTATTTTGTCACATCACTGAAGCACCAATTTCGTCAGCTATATCTATGATGTACATCAATCAAGATTTGATGAATAAGATAAATAGAGAAGTTAGAAATCCCCATCAATGTTATTATCATCATTATTTTTACATGGAACTGAACTCAGCAGCTTAACTAAACATAAATAAGACGCAAGACCCTCTCAAAACCGGGCTTATAGTCATCAGACACAAACACTGCGTTAACACACTATTGACGCTTAAGACAGTAGGAAAACATCGGACAATGGCGACAGGACCATCTTTATTCAGACCATTATCAGTTTACGTGTGCCAAATTAGCAATAACTGGAAGCACACGTAAAATCACCAACAGCCATCACAATATTAGAAACAATTCATTTGTATGAGTTTCCATTACAATTGATCCTGTTGTGTATTATACAATGCCCCAGTCTCTTTAACCTTTCTTTAGTTTGGTTGACCTTAACCCTGTCTTAGAGGGGAGTGAATAGTTTCTATCTGAACACTGCTCAAGGCACGACAGAATGACGTTATCTGTCAAATACCGTTGTTTTAGAGGAGGATGCAAAGATGCTATCTTGACAAATAAAGTCCTCATCATGTTTGTACGTCTTTGTTGTACTTGCGCGGTATCATGTGCGCGTTCGGATTGTGATGTGATTTTACTTGTGGACATTTTCCTGAAACCGCCAGAATGAGGCTCAGAAAGCTGGTGATTAGGTGCCTACCTCTGGGTGTGGGTTCGAATCCCTGATGGACTCAACCCAACAAAAGTTCTAGAATCTGTACTTTACTGAGAAAGTGTAATCCCAAATAAAACATATGTTACATTCGACCATTTCAGGGGCGGATACAGCTTTTTGAGAAAGTAGAGTGCACACTCTTGAGAAATTGGGTGCACACTTCAATTCCAATGGTCATTTTATAAACGTTCAGGACAAAAGGGGGTTGCGCGCACGCGCACGCGCACACGCACACGCACACGCACACACACACACACACACACACACACACGGATCCGCCTATGCACTTTTTCAATGGAATATTGGTCTTCAGTAACCCATGCTTGAAGTAAGAGGCGACTAACGGGATTGGGTGGTCAGGCTCGCTGACTTGGTTGACATATGTCATCGGTTCCCAATTGCGCAGATCGATGCCCATGCAGTTGATCACTGGATTGTCTGGTCCAGACTCGATTATGCACAGACCGCCGCGGGAATATTGCTTAGTGCGGCGTAAAACTCAACTCACTCGCTCATTCACAATTTGAGTCGAAGGGAAATAACTGATCTACTTTATTGTGTTTTGCAAGCGACGAGCGATAGCGACTTCTCCTACGAATTGACCATGAATTCGTGACCACTTCAGTCGTAAACATTTCTGGTTCAGTCCAGATTGAGATACGACTTCAGAACAGTGTTACTGTTTACATCTAGTCGGCACTATGATTAACTTTCACTTCTCGACTTTCCCAAGGATGCTGAGGCCGGATTACGGAATGGCGACAGTTGCCATAAAATATATCCGTCAAAGACTCCATGTAAACAACCAAAACGTTGACGTAAGGAGTAGGCTTGTGGTCCAAGTTGGCATGGTACTGAATAACTACATCTGGCTGAAGCGTAAACAACATTCACTCAGTTAATTACGGAGCCATCAGGTCGTCAAGTGTCCAAGGCAACTGGGGCGGTGGGGTAGCCGAGTGGTTAAAGCGTTCGCTCGTCATGCCGAAGACCCGGGTTCGATTCCACACATGGGTACAATGTGTGAAGCCCATGCCTGTGTTCCCCGCCGTGATATCGCTGGAATATTGCTAAAAGCGGCAAAAACCCAACTCACTCACTCACTTCAAGGCGTCTAACGGGATCGAGTCGTCAGGCTCGCTGCCTTGGTTGATGTATGTCGTCGTATCCCAGTTGCGAAGATCGATGCTCATGGTGTCAATCACTGGATTGTCTGGATTGTCAAAACTCGATTATTTACATCACAGAGCTGGGATATCGCTGAGTGTGGCGTTAAACAACAAACAAACAAATATAAGGTTTCTGGGGATTAATATAGGACTTGTCAATGTATCTCATGCGGGCATTCTTGGGGATAATAAGAGTGAGTGAGTAAGATTAGTTTTACGCCGCACTCAGCAATATTCCAGCTATATGGCGGCGGTCTGTCAATAATCGAGTCTGGACCAGACAATACAGTAATCAAAACCATGAGCATCGATCTGCGCAATTGGAAACCGATGACATGTGTCAACCAAGCCAGCGAGCATGGCCACCCGATCCCGTGACTCGCCTCTTACGACAAGCGTGGGTTACTGAAGGTTCATTCTAATCCGGACTTTCACGGATGGGATAATAAGAAATCACATTAAAAGCACAATAATCATACCAGCTCTAGAAACAGGGTGGCATGTCTTTACATCGGCTTCCAGATAGACTGACATCTAGTCTCTGAAATTACCACATTTACAGAATATGAAGAAACAGTTCCTAGATTAGATCTACAGTCTATAATATAAAAGAGCCCAGAGACTTACTACCCGACACTGTAGTAATCTACACTTGACACATATTTTAGACTTGCTTGGGCTTCACAAGGTAAATGTGTTTCATTATCTGTATGGGGGCGGTGGGGTAGCCTAATGGTTAAAGCGTTGGCTCGTCACGCCGAAGACCTGGGTTCGAATCTAGTGTATTTCTGGTGTCCCTCGCCGTGATGTTGCTGGAGTATTGCTAAAAGCGGCGTAAAACCAAACTCAATTAGTCAGTCAGTCAGTCATTATCTGTATGACAGACTATCGTTGAGAGTGAAGGTCGAAGTCACACGCTGCATTGGTCATGAGGAGTAAATATGATTTTACGCCGCTTTTCACAATGTTCCAGCATTATCATGGCGGGGAGAATCAAGAAATGGGCTTCACACATTGCACCCATGTGGGGAATCGAATCCAGGTCTTCGGCGTGACGAGCCAACGCTTTAACTACTAGTTTGGCTATCCAAAATGGACATGATGATACCAGATATGTAAATTATAACAGCGAGAGTTCTGAATGCATAACTGGTATCCAGGTGAACGACAGTTGAAGCAGACAAAACACACAAAAGAACGCACACACGCACTCGCACACGCACACGCACACACACACACACACTCACAGAGATCTGAGGACACGTTTTTAGTATTTACAAATGCTTACACAAAGCATCGATCAAATAGTACCACCTGACACAATATAGTGGTTCTGTTATCTCCCTTCGACTGTTATCATGTTTGAGACACACTTTCGTCAGTGGTGTACAGATTTCACTGAATATCCTTCTTCTATCAGTTGACAAAAGACTGTTAAGACTATCTAACAGCAAAATATCAACAAAGACACATTTTCATAACATTATGAATCTATTTTAGGCTATAGCAAGTAATAACCATTAACAAATTGATCAGTATTGAAACAAATTCCTGAAATACCAGCTTATGTTTATCATATTAAAACACGGATATATAATTATTCTTTCTCGACAAACAGATACATGTTGATTTTCAAGACAAAATGATCAAATCTGGACTTTCGATCGATTCCTATCAGAGGAATATCGTTGTTGTGGTTAGATCTATATATACAACTAATAGGGCCAGTTCCAAAACCATTATTTTCAAACATATGCATGCTATTTCGATCGGAAATGTACATAAATGTTCATAGTTATGATTTTGTAAAACAAAGGGCACCACTGTTTGTGTGTTCTAGATATATACAGTCTTTTTTCAGCTTGCCTTTGCTAATAAATTATAACACCGTATAATTGACTTGTAAACGTGTACTAGTCTGTCTCAGTCCATGAACCACATTAATTTCCCTACTGCCAAGCCCTCTCTGCAGTGCTAAAGCCCTAAATAAAGCAAGTCTAGATTTCCTCAGGTTCAGGTTCTGAATCTCTGGTCTCCCTGGGGCTCCTTTTCAATTTAAATGGGCTTGTTTTTACTATCAAAATTATATATATTTACCTAATCATTTTAAGAAGTGAAATCTCAAACGATGTATAATATTTACTCTCATCTGCAGACTTGTAGCAACTAATACCATACAGCCACACCGTGTGAGGAGTAAACTATTTAATCTAGGTGTTAATGAAACCATTATCAGATGGGTTAAAGATTCAGGGTACATAGAACTCGGTACGTCAGTGTCAATGGCTATCAATCTTCTTTTCTCTCAACCTCTACTGGAGATCCACATGGCTGTGTTCCTTCATCCGTACTCTTCGTTTTGTATACCAATGACTGTTACTTGTCAATATATGACTTGTTTACTGTGAAATTCGCAGATGACGCCACTGTTACTGGCCTAATTTCTGATTCTGAACATTATTATCGTCAAGGCATTGACAAAACCGTAATGACAGTTTTTTATCAAACCTTTATTCAAAGTGTGTTGACCTACAATGTTCTATGTTGGTATGGGGATCTGTCTCATCGCAACAAAAACAAACTTTTCAAAATTGTTAATACTGCTTGCAAAATTTCTGGAGTGTCTTTCGAGTATATTCCCTTTATCTATGAGCGCCAGATTGTCAAAAAGGCAGCTAAAATTAGATTTGATAGTTGACATATTTGATCTCATCATTTTGATCTACTTCCTTCTGGACGCTGCTGTCGATTACCTTTCCCACAAACAAACAGAGCTCGATAGTCTTTCATACCATCAAGTATTCGTGAATGCAACAAATATTTTGAATCACCATCATGTGATTAGAACTAGAATTATTCAGCCTCTTTACCTATGTGGTTAATTGAATTATATCATGTCAGTTTTATTTGTAATAGCATTTGTTTTGAGCATGTAATTATTGTGTATATTTTTTGTGAACTGTGTATATATTCATTTTGAGACAGTTTGGATGTATCAGAATTTCCTCCGGGATAATAAAGTTATATCTTATCTTAATATTAGACGTTAACGGCCGCTCGTGCTTAGCACATGGCAGACAGTCTGTCAACGTCAAATAATTCGAGTTATCTCCCCTTTTCGAGTCCTCGAGTCCTTGAAAATGGACTCGAGTCCAGCTGAACCCGACTCGTCCTCGAGTACTCGAGTACCCGTGGAAGCCCTAATATATATTCAGAGACTAAGCATTCGTCTAAACGTGTACCAACTTTGACGGGCAAGGGGAGGTCACTCTAATATCAGATTGACTTAAACCGAAAGTACGGCGCGAACGGGACAAGGTACGTGTGGGTGGAAGCTGGCCAAGTTTTGTCGAAAGTAAGGACAAATCGAAATATTTATGATATGTTTATATATTTCCAATCGCGTATGTGGGAATGGGAGACACTATATGGACTGTCAAACGTTGTTATCAGCAAGCAAATGTCGTATAACTCCACACACGTGATCTAGAGACTACTAGAGTCTTCGAGCACTGTGGTCAGGTAGTATTAGGGACCATTCTGAGCATTCATAATTTACGGCTAGGGGTGATGATGATTCTTATTGAGAAGCATGTACAATGTGAATGACGACACACACACCCCTACACACACACCTAAATGTACGTACAATGTAAAGTACGTATATCGCTCTCACACACATCCCACCCCACCCCCACCCCCACCCCCACCTCCTCTGACTGTTATGTACAAAAGCAATGCCCTACACATAACACCAGGGTATGAAACTTCCAAAACTCTCAGCCAGACAACAGGGCTGGTTAGATGTAAAACTTGCCAGTCCTGATCAAAACTTTCCTGCCCACAAAATACCTTCATATACATGTCTAAATTTTGGGTTATAAGCTAAAACGGAACCACAGCAGAACGGCACCAAAATCGTGCGGCGAAAACGGCACCGTATTGGCGAAAACGGCTACTGATTTCTGAGCTAAAAACGGCACCATATACAAAACACAGTATGATGTTGACTTTTATGTTGTAGTTAAGTTTAATTATAACATTAGAATCAACATATAAAAAACACAGTATGGCGTTGACTTATGGTTTTTATTTCAGCAAGATTATAACACCTTGATACAGCTGGAATATTGCTAAAAAGCGGTAAAATCACAACTCACTCAATCAACCATTACATTAAAATAACAAGATTATAATAAAGGCGATAACAAACCGTCAACATAACACATGTTCACCGCGTCCATATTTGGCGGATGCTTGAGCGATTGGTCCATGGATCATCGCACATCTTGACAGTAAGCTGCGACAGAGACAGGTCTCCATCCTTGAATGAACTCCACAATTGAAAACCTCCTCCTGCCTAGCTGTTGAGGATTTTTTAGGATGTATGCCTTCAGCCTTCCTTCCTGTATAAGTCTGAGGTTGAGTAAATGTACTTAAAACATCAAAGGTTGTGATGTTTTCAGCTAAATTACAGGCTTCTTCTATCAGTTGACAAAAGACTGTTAAGACTATCTAACAGCAAAATATCAACAAAGACACATTTTCATAACATTATGAATCTATTTTAGGCTATAGCAAGTAATAACCATTAACAAATTGGCCACCTATTCATTATTGAAACAAATTCCTGAAATACCAGCTTATGTTTATCATATTAAAACACGGATATATAATTATTCTTTCTCAACAAACAGATACATGTTGATTTTCAAGACAAAATGATCAAATCTGGACTTTCGATCGATTCCTATCAGAGGAATATCGTTGTTGTGGTTAGATCTATATATACAACTAATAGGGCCAGTTCCAAAACCATTATTTTCAAACATATGCATGCTATTTCGATCGGAAATGTACATAAATGTTCATAGTTATGATTTTGTAAAACAAAGGGCACCACTGTTTGTGTGTTCTAGATATATACAGTCTTTATTCAGCTTGCCTTTGCTAATAAATTATAACACCGTATAATTGACTTGTAAACGTGTACTAGTCTGTCTCAGTCCATGAACCACATTACTTTCCCTACTGCCAAGCCCTCTCTGCAGTGCTAAAGCCCTAAATAAAGCAAGTCTAGATTTCCTCAGGTTCAGGTTCTGAATCTCTGGTCTCCCTGGGGCTCCTTTTCAATTTAAATGGGCTTGTTTTTTTACTACCAAAATTATATATATTCAGAGACTAAGCATTCGTCTAAACGTGTACCAACTTTGACGGGCAAGGGGAGGTCACTCTAATATCAGATTGACTTAAACCGAAAGTACGGCGCGAACGGGACAAGGTACGTGTGGGTGGAAGCTGGCCAAGTTTTGTCGAAAGTAAGGACAAATCGGAATATTTATGATATGTTTATATATATCTAATCGCGTATGTGGGAATGGGGGACACTATATGGAGTGTCAAACGTTGTCATCAGCAAGCAAATGTTGTATAACTCCACACACGTGATCTAGAGTCTTCGAGCACTTAGTTCACTAACGTCGTGTTCTGCCAAGGCATACACCTTGGCAGGAACACGACGTTTAGGAACTCAGCACTGTGGTCAGTAGTAGGGACCATTCTGAGCATTCATAATTTACGGCTAGGGGGTGATGATGATTCTTATTGAGAAGCATGTACAATGTGAATGACGACACACACACCTACACACACACACCTAAATGTACGTACAATGTAAGTACGTATATCTCTCACACCCACATACCACCCCACCCCCACCCCTCTGCATGTTATGTACAAAAGCGATGCCACACACACACAACACCAGGGTATGAAACTTCCAAAACTTTCAGCCAGACAACAGGGCAGATTGGATGTAAAACGTGCCAGTCCTGATCAAAACATACCTGCCCACAAAATACCTTCATATACATGTCTAAATTTTAACCGGACCGTCGGGCAGGTGAATGTGAGAATCTGGCAGTCTGTGTTGAAAATAACCTGTCCTGGGCGGTCGGGCTGGCAGGTATTTCGAACGCTGACAACACCCTTAGCACAAATATGCCTACCCTTCAAACACCTACCTATATGTTACACTTTACACACACTATTCATACTATCCAGGTGCTAAAAAACATATACACTGAACACACATACACATACTTGCACACAGATTGTCTCACACACCCACACTTAACAGGATGCAGATGCAACAATATACCCTCAAAGCCTGGGTGTACATATATTTCAGTCACTCTTGACATTGTCGTTAAATTGCAGAGACGATAATTTGGACAGTTCTGTGCATAAAATCTACCCCACATCAAAGAAGTATTGAACATGATTTTCAATGCCCTTCTCAGAACACTGGGCATTTTATCGACTATTACAATCTTTTAACATTATGATTTGGTAGATAGCCAATCAAGTCATTAACCTACTCAGAGCTACAGATAACGTTTTGGGTCATTGAGTAATGTACTCGCTTCTGTTCATCTCAATTGGGTATCCTAATTTTCCTTTGAGTTACCAAATATATTGTACTCACCTCACTCAAACTCATTGGGTATTTTGCCATTTTCCATTAATTTAAAAAATATGAAAGTTTAAATATTAATGTTTGTTATTTATATTTGATCTGTAATATGAGAAATGATAAGAAAGTTGTCAAGTTCATGTCCAGTAATACAACCTCTCAGTATGCGTCTCAGTTATTTTATCTATCCACCAGTACGCAAGCTAAGATCACATTTATTGAGTATTTACAAAATTTCAAGCATACTTGTACGCAATAGACTTAACAGGAATTGAGTTTTCACATAAATATTTGCCGTAATTTACTCAGATACGCAGCTTATCTGTACCTCTGCCTACTGAAATCATCGCCCCACTAATGAATCAGGTCATCGGTTATGAATTTAAAGTTTTCTGTCGTTCATAATATTGTTGTCTGAAAGGGACAGTATGGGTTACCTCCCTTGCCTTCTTATCAAGAGTGTGATAATAACAGACATTCAAATTTGAAGGCATCACTGAAACGAAGGAGTCAGTCAAGATTACCCCATTTTCCCATTTGAATAAACCCCAGTTATCTGATTGCAGCTTTGAAATTTGGCTAAACCTTGAAATCTAGTTTCTGGTTCAAACCTTTACACACACACTCTCACTCTAAGGAATTTACTCAAAAATGCTATATGCTACTGTCATGTTAACTCCCACCTTTTGGTAGTATGATCGTCAACTGTGGAATCTGAATGTACTTTGTGATGATATTGCCAAGCACTCAGCAATATTCCAGCTATGTGGCAGCGGTCTGTAAATAATCAAGCCTGGACCAGACAATCCAGTGGTCAACAGCATGAGCATCAATCTATGCAATTGGGAATCGATGACATGTGTCAACCAAGTCAGAAAGCCTGACCACCCGATCACGTTAATCGCCTCTTACAACAAGCATGGGTTACTGAAGATCAAGTTTAACCTCGATCTTCACGGGTTGTAGGGAACTGGGATTTTGGATTTGGAGTATTGCCACTGTGTGGAAATGTTCATGCGAGGTACAGTCCTTCACAGAGAGAACATGAGTAGAAATAGAGATTCATGTGTCATGTGCCCTATTGGAATTGAATGTGCCAACATGAAGAAAATCTTTTGGTTAACGTGATTAAGAGTTGTTATTCAGAAGTTTGTCTCCACATGGGTATAAATATTGTGAAGCCCATTTCTGGTGTCCCCTGCCATGATATTGCTGGAATATTGCTAAAAGCAGAGTAAAACCATACTCACTCACTCACTCACTAGTGATATTGACTGTGATTGGCTGATTACACTTGTCATATTTTGAATCCTTATGTGTATTGTGTGAATCACACTGAGCATGTATAGTGTTCTATGGTCTCAATGCCCTTGTGTTTGTCAACGTAGTCCAAATATGTTGACCCTGGGTTCGTTTATTATAGTTTCATGAAATATTCATCACAAGGCATCCCATCGCATGTTTTCCAAATTTGTCCTTGTACAGAAATGTGTTTTACTTGTGTCCTTACAACTCTTAACACAGGAAGTTAATACTCGCATGTGGTCCCAGAAATAAAGTTTTGTATCTTCACAAAGAAAAATAGATAAAACCACCACAAGGGCCCAGAACAATTCTTAAGAGGCAGTCTTGAATTGAGATGCTGTACATGTCAGAAGGAAAATCTTCAGAGCCCAATACATGCCTTAAGGTAATCTGAAGTTATCACATAGTTTTATGAGAGGGGCTAAATAGGCTAGCATAAGGACCGTGGTGATGGTGTAGCATCAGTTTCAGTGATGTTATAATTGAAGCTCTCATAAAATCATTTCTTCATCCAGATGGTTTGCCTCGTAAACTTTCAGCATGGCATATTTTTAGCATCAAAACTTTATTTTGTCATTGGCTCGGTTGACATTGGAAAATCACATTATTGATCATTGCGTAATTGTTCTAGATAAGGAATTGTTTATTTCTCATGGGTGATTTAGAGTGAGTGAGAGAGTTTAGTTTTATGGCACTTTTAGCAATATTCCAGCAATATCAAGGTGGGGGGGCACCAGAAATGGGCTTCACACATTGTACCCATGTGGGGAATCGAACCCGGGACTTCAACATGGCAAGCGATTGCCTCAACCACTCGGCTACCCCAACGCCCCTACTTGATTAAGAGAATTGCTGTCAGTAAGTGGTCAGATACTAGTCTCAGAAAATGCCCAGAAATTGTGTTGGGATTAAGAGACAACTTCCTGAATCATATTTAGTGACATATTTTATTGTGTGTCATCTACATTGATGTCAAAAGAAGAAGTTAAATATCAATTTTATATGGGTCATGTAGAATTTTTGGTATTCATTTTATTTGTGTTTGTTTATTTGTTGTATAACATCAGTCTCAGCCATATTCCTGCTATATGGCGGCGGTCTGTTAATAACTGAGTCTGGACCATACAATCCAGTGATCAACACATTCTATTTGTGTCAACAATAGGGAAGTAATTGTTGGTAGGTCTGAATATGACACATTATCTGATGTATTGATTCTGTCATTTTCAGGATCACTTGTCTGAATCAGAAGTAGCTCTGTGTGAGAAAAGATGGCCACAGGAGGTGACACCAGCAGCCGTGACCAGGCAGTCGTTTGCAGCATCTGCCTGGAGGAATACATCGACCCCAAGCTGCTGCCTTGTTTCCACACCTTCTGTGTGGAATGCTTGGAGCAGCATGCTGGAAGGACAACCACCAGTGGTCACTTCCCCTGCCCTCAGTGTAGGGGAAATGTCAAGCTACCTGCAAAAGGTGTCCAAGGATTTCAGACTAATTTCTACATCACCAATATCAGGGAAATGGGTAAAACTAACCCATCTCAAGCTCAACAGAAGGTCATCCCCAAGTCACAAAATATGTGTGGCATATGCAAGAAGAGTGCAGCAAGATTTGATTGCAGGACGTGTCACATGAATCTCTGCAATGGTTGTAAGAAGAACCATAAGAAGCCAAAGTCACATAGGAACCACCATGTGGTTCTCATCCAAGAGGAATCGGCTGCTGCAGAAGTTAGTGAGATCCTGCTGTGCCCAAAGCATCATGCCAGGGGAGAGATCCTCATCTATTACTGCCTCCGTTGTGATGTCCCCATATGCATGTCCTGCAAGTTGACTGCCCATGAAGGACATAAGTCAGAGGACCTGGAGGACAGAGTCAACATGATCAAGAAAGAGCTACGTGAATGCAACTTTGAGGCGCAGAGAATGTGTCATAAGCTCGAGGATTTGAATGATAAAGGTGTGAAGATGGAGGTGAGATGCCACTGGAAGGTAGATGAAGTGATGGAGCAGATTAGTAGTGACAGGGAAGTTGTTCTGAAGCTAGTCACTGAACGTTCCAAGTGTATGGAGGGCAAGTTGAAGAAGCGAGCAAAGGCCAGTTTCAACACCATTTCAGCCCATCTTGAGAAAATTGACATGGATCTGAAGCAATTGGATGAAGTGAAGAACAAAATTACAAATACTCTGGAGAAGGGTTCCTTCCAAGAGATGCAGGACAGTCGCAAAGAAGTAAAGCACTTGATGGCCTGAAGAAAGATCTTCCTGGCCCAGTTGAGGTTTGTTCTGACTTTGCTTATGAAATGTCTGGGTCTGATAGATCAAGAGTCACACAGATGGATGCATTGCTAGGCAGGATCAACACTTATGCTGCTGAATCTGACAAAGGCCTTGTACCAAGAGGAACAAAGTTTTTGGCCACATTTAGAGTACCTCAAGGTCACTTGAAAGCAAGATCTCTTGCTTCATCGAAAACAGGAATATTTCTCTGTTATGATCCTTGTTTGATGTCCTTAGATTTTCTCAGCACCACTGGTTCTATGATAGATAGACACAGTATTAACTTTGAAGTCAGCTCAGTTGCTGTCAATGAGTCAGGATCTGTGTTCCTTGCCTCGGCTTCAAGGAAGCTCATCAACATTCTGATGGTTGATTTGTGTATCCAGTTGCCACTGGCCGAGAACCTCCCCATACTTCCTTCAGCAATCACAGCAACAGAGGAAACCATTATTGCCATCGGCTCATCCAAAGAATCAAAGGCTGGTATTATCAACATTCGCAAAGATGGTGGCAATGTATCTTGGGTGTTCAACGACAAGATGGGAACAGTGTTCAAGAAACCAGCAGATGTCGCCTTATGGAGCAAAAGCAATCAGACCATGGTGATAGTAACAGACCCCAAGGCTCACAGAGTTGTATTTCTGTCCAAACAGGGATGCACTTACCACATCACGAAGATATACAGTGGTGAAGGTCTACACCAGGACACAGAACAGTTCTGCCCCTACGGCGTCTGTGTAGACAAGCTTGGGAACATTTTCGTGGCAGACATGTCCAGTCAGGCTGTGATTCAGCTCAGCTGGAAGGGGAACCTGATGGATGACCACACTCTCATGTTTGACCAAGGATTCATACCCAAGTGCCTGGCGTCCACACCGGAGTGTAACCTCATTGTAGGTAGTAGTGATGGAATGGTCAAGGTCATCAAGCGAGCTAACCCATGAACACTGTTCAGTCACAACTCAAATCCTCTGAAAACGCGATGTTGTGGTGGGTAACCAGTTCATCAGGTTTATTAAAGGTCATTTTCAGTTTTTATCCCGTTTGAGGAAAGGGCACAGGAAGTTCATCTGTTTTCCATTTGTGAAGGTTGTCATGATATGGCTGAAATATTGCCAATGTGACATAAAATTTCACTCACTCCCATTTGTGGAGAACAAAATGTGATACCTTGACTACCAATATTGATGATTACATTCAATGTATATTTTCCCAGGGCTCCAGATAATTTTTCATGATCAGGAGTATGTACTCCTTATTTTTTCAATATAGGAGTACTGGAAAACAATAAGAGTACAGTTAGAGTACTGAATGGAATTTAATGGCGTATCAGTAATCTTGTGTTTTGTTTCATATATGCACCACAACATTGCTACTCTTGTGTAAACAGGTCAGTAAACAATAAAACAATACTTTTTCAGATAAATACGTCTGTAAATGATTCTGAAACCGTACACCATTGCTGTGGTCCATATCTGCTACGTTTTTAAAATTGTTTCCTACCGTATCGTGCTTATTTTATATCCGTACATAAGCTGATACGGCCCTTATCTGGAGCCCTGTTTTCCCCCGCCTCAGGGGATATAAGGATCAGCATGTCCATCAGTTTTCCATTTCCAGAGCAGAATTTCAAAACTATTGAATATGTTGTGTATTGTTTGTAGTGTACTGATGCTCTTTGATGATTTGATATAATTCAATTTTAATTATTATGTTTTCATGAAGAAACGTTTGACTCTTACTGGAAATGAGGGTAGCATTCATTTCCGAACTCCTATACCATCAAACATTTAGACGAAATAGAGCTGTTACCTTTTGATGCAAAAGGATGTTTTAATGATGTGGAAAGGATTATATTTTTCTCTACTGAACAGAAGGTATCCGATAGCAATGAGACAGAAATGGGGTTCATGTAAGGTACAAACTCAATTTCCAAATTGCACCAGATCAGGTGGGATGTTTCTCAAATGTCATCTTCTGATGACTCATCTTTATAAGGGGCGTTGGGGTAGCCTAGTGGTCAAAGCGTTGGCTCGTCAGGCCGAAGACCCGGGTTCGAATCCCCACATGGTTACAATGTGTGAAGCCCATTTCTGGTGTCCCCCTCGGTGATGTTGCTGGAATATTGCTAAAAGCGGCATAAAACCAAACTCAGTCAGTCAGTCAGTCATATTTGTAAATGTCTAGCTGGTTCTCTCAAAATGTAAGTAGGTCAGGAGTTTCCCTTCACATATTTCTTGGTTTATTGATAAACAGTTGAAAGTTGTGTTAACCCAAACCCGCTTATGTAAGTGGTCTAATGTAATTGTAAGCTAGGGCCCCACATTTCTACCAAGTATCATTTAAAAACATATCATTATGATTTAGCAAGTGCATTAGTCTTATTCTGCCAGTGTTGAAATAGAATACATGCTTCTTAATATGGCCTAGACTAATTTAATACGATTTTTCCTTAATACCTTTACTTTTGGACATGATTTTGTGTTTCGAGTGTTTACTGGGGTTTTTTCCTGATGGATACTACTTTGTTGACTTATACTTGTAATACCCGTGAAGATCCAGGTTAGATTTGATCTTGTCGTAAGAGGCGACTAACATGATCCGGTGGTCAGGCTCGCTGACATGGTTGACACATGTCATCAGTTCCTAATTGTGTTGAACAATACTCATGATATTAATCACTGGATTGTCTGGTCCAGACTCGATTATTTACAGACCGCCACCATATAGCTGGAATATTGCTGAGTGCAGTGTTAAACAACAAACCAACCGCCATTATACAGTGGAATCTGTCAAATCCGGAATCTTGGGTTTTAAACCGGTTTTCTCCAAAATCCAGACTACTGTCTGAGTCCTGGCAAAATTGTGTTTAATTTATCATTAAAGCTTGTTTTATGGACCGGACTCTCTCAACTGGATTACAGATTATGGACTAAAATAACAGTCCTCACAATCAATTTGCTATGAGAACAATGCTTTAAATTCCAGACTTAGCTGACTAAAATAACAGTCTGTTTAATAAACATCACCGTTACTACGAAGTGATACAATGTCGTGTTGTTTTTTGCCCCAACGGCTTTTTTTGAGGTTCTCAAAATTCGGCTTATCTATGGTAATGTATGGTAACACATCATGGCAGTGCTTACGGTAACGGACAAGAGTCGACTAATCCGGACTGCTTTACAATCCGGACAAATGATTCGGTCCCAGGCCAATCCGTAATAGACAGATCCCACTGTGCTTGTAAGAGGTGCCAAATGGAATCTTTGGTCAGGCATCAGCAGCATCAGCAGCATGTCATGGAACCAGTCTGTAACTCTGTAAACTGAGAGGCTTAACGTACTTTTTCAATATAAATGACGAAATACAAATATCAAATGGCTAACAGTGCAGTAATGGTATCAACTGAAAGTAATGTACCTACTGTACTGCATAGAGTGCATATAAACTGAACGCATAACTTTCTCTGCTTTGCATCTGTAAGTTACTGTTCAGTAAGACTGAGGAACAGAGTACTTTGAAGCTGGGCCGTTTTGTTCTGATTCATTTATCATGTTTTCAGCGAGAACAAGCCTGTTAGTGTACAGGCCAAATGTCTGTTCCTGACATAGACAAACGCTAAGTCTCTGAATATATGTAATTTTGATAGTAACAAATAAACCCATTTAAATTGAAAAGAAGACCTAGTCAGATGGGAAATTCTGAAACTGAGACACTAAACTTGCTTCATTTAGAGCTTTAGCAGTATGGAAAATAAGGCAGTTTAGGAGCTGTGAGACCGATTAGTTCCTAACACTGAATGGTACCAAATGGTACGTTGCTTGTATTGTAATTTTTGGAACAGATTTGAATATTTACATGTTGCACATAGCTGGCATATAGCTTACAGACATGTGAAACAACTGAAAGCAATACTAATATGCATATTGTTCTTGGGCAATATTCTTCTTGTTTTTGTTGTGTTATGTTGAGCTTAACACCTAGATCCTCAAAGTCATTCCTCGTATGACGCTGCATCTGGATTTCACAGTGATACACCAGTTGATGTATTGTGGCATTGTTTGATAAAATTGTCTTCGATACACTAAAAAATCTAATACACTTCGTGTCCAAGATCACATGATAGCTGTCTGTAGTTCTCTTGGGTCAGTCAGTAGAAACCTAGCAAGTATTTATCGTTTTGCCAAAGGCACTGTGTGTATGGCCACTTGATCTTAGATTCAATACCTTGTCACTGCATAGTATGAGAGAATCATGTGAAGATTCTGTACCCATTTAGTATTGAAGTGGTCACCATCAAGGTGGTTACAAGAATAACCATGGAAGTCAGGAACAGGCTGGATGGATTTCTGGTTCATTTTGTTTTCACGGTGAACAATATCAGTATTATGGGGTATGTTCTGGTGTTGATTATATTCTGGAAGAACGAAAAATATATTGAAGTATTGTGAATTATGGGGGTGGGGGGGTTTGTCATTCTGGAGCAACTGTAGAACTATGACTATGTAATGTACAGATATTTAAACATTGTGAAATATGTTCTCTTTGGTGATTGGTTGTCATTGGTTGTCATTGTGCAAATATTTGGTTGAGAACTGCAGGAACAGAATGTGTAATGTACAAGATATTTAAGTATTGTGAAAGTATGTTCTGTTTAGGTGATTGGATGTCATATTGGAAGTATGGCTGCTAGAGGAGCTACAGAATGTATTTAAGTATTGTGAAGTACACTCAGATATTTAAGTATTGTATTAATACACTCAGATATTTAAGTAGTATATGTTCTGTTTAGGTGATTGGATGTCATGCTGGAGGAGCTACAGAATGTGTATTGTACAGATACTTATTATTGTGTGTTTAGGTACATGCTCAGAACTATTTAAGATATTTAAGTATTGTGAAGTATGTTCTGTTTAGGTGATTGGATGTCATGCTGGAGGAGCTACAGAATGTGTATTGTACACTACACTCAGATATTTAAGTATTGGAGGAGCTGAACTATGTATGTTCTATTTAAGTTTAGGTGATTGGATGTCATGCCGGAGGAGCTACATATTGTGTATTGTACACTCAGCTATTTCAGTATGATGACGTGTTGTTTTGTTCATTGGTTATCAAACTGGAGACTCTTTTGAACTCTACAGATATTTCATTTTGAACTAGGGATGTTCATTAAATTTGTTGATATACCAAATATGTATGTTTTTTGTTATTTCAAACCCTATGTTCATTAAATTTGTTTATTTACCAAATATGTATGTGTTTTGTTATTTCAAACCCTATGTTCATTAAATTTGTTGATATACCAAACCCTATGTTCATTTTTGTTGATTTACCAAATATGTATGTGTTTTGTTTCAAACCCTATGTTCATTAAATTTGTTGATTTACCAAATATGTATGTGTTTTGTTTATTTCAAACCCTATGTGCAGTGAGTTTGTTCAAAATTGCCTCTGTTCACCCAGCAGAAAATGGGTACCCGGTTGGATAAAGTCATGTGACTATAACCTTCTAGCACCTAACAGGCAGCTTGGGTTATCCGGGGTAATAATAATCAGGGTGTTAACGCTTTAAGCATGCTTTGTTGCTTGTAGATAAACGCATTATAAAACTTCTCATTATTATTATTATTTACAGATTAAAAATTGTATGCAGCAGAGAGGGTTAGGGTGATCCTGGCACAGTCAGGCTGGTAAGGCTCATCATCAGCTCAGGGCCCTTGCCCCCTCTACACGCAGCCCAGACAGCGAATGGGACTTCTCCCAGGAAACGCTGCCTAGTCGAACCCACCAAGAACTTTCCGGAGAATATGAAGGCTCCCCAACACTGCAGCCTTCTGCATTACCCAGAGTGTCAGAAGGGCTGTATCTCCTGATCTGCGCCAAGAGATCAGGAGGTACCAAACTCAAGGGCACCGAGAACAATGGGGGAGCCTGACGACAGTGTACTTGGGATGCAAAGCGAGACATTTCAAAGGCGAGGTCCGCATATTTATCATGCTTTTCCTTAATCTTGCCAATCAAACAATTATACTGGACCTGACTCGCATCTGCAGCAAGATTTTGTAACTTTATTTTATTCTGAGTCATTGCCCTTATATATACTATTCACACTTTGCTAAGGATCAAATCAAGGATTCAACAGAAAACTATGATGTGGGGTCAAATTTGGTTTAAATATCTAAGCTTTTTGTAAGCATGGATCCTAGGTTTCAGTATGTCATTTCATCTTGTGGATCCCATACCTGCTATTGACAGGTGTTGTGTACTTGTCAATGACTCGTCCTATGATATGTAAAATGGTTTATTGGTGCCATGAAAACCCATTTTTATGGTTACTCATGTATCAAGTGGATAAGGTTAGATTAAAGTAACTGTTTGCCTAAAGAGGGGTTACCATATCATTACTTATCCACTTTTAAATCGATACAATTTCAAATTATAAATCTTCATTTAAGTAAAGTTGTGACTTTTTGTGATCCTTAGCAAAGTGTGAGTTGTATACATACTATACATATTTTTGGGATATTGCTTAGCCGGATATTTGACAATTGATTTTTATCCCCAACCCCGCCATGTAATGCGGGGGAATATAGTCGACGCCTCGTCTGTCTGTCCGTCCATCTGTAATCATTTTGTTTCCAGAGCATAACTCAAAAACTGTTCAATATTTTTCAACAAAAATTGGTAGATATAACAAACAGAACCTAAGCTGGTGCCTTTTGCTATTTACAGATTTTTGTCATTTTAATTTTTCTCGGTATCCATGGAAACGTTTTGGACTTGGTCTTTGGCGGGGGGCTTCGTTTCTGGAGCATAACTCAAGAACCGTTCCATATTTTTCAACAAAACTTGGTAGATATATCAAACAGATCCTTAAGTGGTGCCTTTTGCTATTTGCAGATTTTTGGCATTTTTATTTTTCCCAGTTTCCATGGAAACGATTCAGACTAAGTCCCAAAAGGGAAGGGTGGGTTTCGTTTCTGGAGCACAACTCGAAAACTTCTTAATATTTATCAGCAAAACTTGGCAGATATGTGAGGCAGATCCCAAAAGTGGTGCCTTTTGCTATTTACAGATTTTTGTGATTTATTATTTTCTCTGTTTTCATGGAAACGATTCAGACTTAGTCCCAAAAAGGAGGGGTGGGCTTCATTTCTGGTGCACAACTCGAAAAGCGTTCAGTATCTTTCAACAGACCCTATGAAATTTTGGAATGGTGCCTTTTGCTCTTTACAGATTTTTGGCATTTATATTTCTCATGATTTCCATGGAAACGATTTGGACTTAGTTTGAGAAAAGTCAAGCTGGACTTAAAGTAACTGTCAGATGATTTGTTCTTTCAAATATGTTGGGGCCGGGGGGGGATATGTCATCTTCTGATACTCTTGTATTAACACTTGCCTATATACAAAGCATGAAGCCACATCCCACCGGGGGCGGTGGGCTAGCCTGATGGTTAAACGGTTCGCTCGTCACTCCGAAGACCCGGGTTTGATTCCCGGGTCGGGTACAAGGTGTGAAGCTGATTTCTGGTGTCCCCCGCTGTGATATTGCTGGAATATTGCTAAAAGCGGCGTAAAACCAAACTTACTCACTCATCTCACAGCCGTCATATGGCCGGAATATTGATCAAATTTGCATAATTCCTTTTCCCCGACTAAACATACGTAGCAAAACGGATATCACTATATTCGTCTGATGTCAAGTTACGAAAACTTCACACAAAAGCATATTTTTATTTTGAACGTTTATTTAACAAACCTTTTCAGATAACCTATAAACACTGTTGATAACAAATATTCACACATCTACATGTACATGGGTTTAACAGATGTAGACTAAATAAATTAAAATAATGTGTGCGTACAAGATGTAAGCTGAAATAAAAACAACTTTTTGTATATTCAATACAAAGGGGAGGTTCATAATGTCAAAACAGGTGAGACAGATAGTGAGGAGGTTAGTAAAGAAAGTTGGTCATTCGCTCCACAATATTACCCTTAGCTGCGTATACTACTAATCCTAATGGAGAATGTTAGGAAATATTCAATAAATTTTCCCTCCAGTCAAACTAAAACTAAAATCAAGATCTATGTATTCACGAAAATGTCACGACTGTTGATAAATGACATTTTGAAGATTAGTAATTAAAATTTTGTTTTGCAGGCTTTAAACACCATTTTAATTTTTTTTTTTTTTTAGGTATAGTACAGAACACAGACGTGAAAGGTAAAGGTAAAATCTATATTTAGAGCCAGTAAGTTTCGCGAGGCGCTACTTCCGGTACTAAGCTGGTTCCTGGCTCCTATCAACTGACAACCATGAGCCCATTCGAAAGGGTATGAAACGTTGTTTGTCACCGGAAGTACTAAGGTCTCGCGAAGTGCCGTGACCTACTTACGGGCCCTATTTATACAAACCAGCTTGCCAGTCAAGGGAGGTAAACATGTTACGTAACATTCAAAGAGGAATGTAAATACTGTCTATTTTAACAAGGGAATTTTACGAAAAACATCGATTGGGGAAATTGTGACAAACACTAATGCGCTATTCGTTGGTTTAACATTACTTTTTCGACTCGCTGTGCGCATGCGCAGAACGTGTTAAAATATCCACTGGTCAACTTCCGGTTTGGTCGTATGCTTTACCGAGTGTAAACACACTCTAAAGAACACCAAAATAAAAACAAATATATAGTTTTATGTCAAATGCAACTGATCCCAATTGAATTATGAAACAATGGCCGGGATTAGTTATATATAAATAGCTTAATTTATGTTAACAAGCTAACAAGCTCTTGTATATAGACATCTCACCACCACCGTCCTTCCCGCACATCCCCTTCTCACAACTAAAACAAACCCACATCTCTGATGGAATTGCAACCAAAATGGGACATCAATTATTGAAAAGCAGAGGCAAATGGAAGTATGTACTCAGCTATGAACAGTTGTCACAACGAAAATAATTTTCATAACAGCTTATTTGGAGTGTATTTACACCATCGGTAAACATACGACCAAACCGGAAGTTGGCCAGTGGATATTGTTCACACGCTCTGCGCATGCGCACAGCGAGTTGAAAAGTGATGTGAAACCAACGAATTCAACCTTTGGAATTCAGAATATAATAAGCGTCTAATCGTCTTTATATCAAGCTCACTAACTTCACTGGTAATGGTGAGGACGCATGCAGGGTTAAGAGATCTCTATTGTTCAACGGGGAGGGGAAAACTGTGGCAATGGTGGTTGGTATCACAGTTGTAGGTCAAGGTGAAGGTCATCTGTTGGGGGGAAATCACACGTGCTTGGTTCACACCAGGGATGGCTGCCTTTCGGTCACTTCTGGTTAGGAAGTTATTCGCCGCAATACATACATTTTCACCAAAAAGAGACTTATAAAAGACTCTAGGAGAACTAAAAGGCTATATTTTCCTTTTTTTAAGCAAGATATTAAGGGGAATTTCAAACGACGGTGATGTAGGTATTACGTCAAATAACACTAGAGAAACACACGGGGAGCGGTGGGTCGTCACTCTGGAATGAAAACAACATGGGTAGTTAAAACAGGTAGTATCTACCACGCTGAGGTATATGAGGGGGACGATCACGGCTCTGCGAGCCCGGAGTTCTACACACCATTGTGACTGCTACTTTCAATTACCACAGACACTACACCTCTACTTTTGTCTACAGGAAGCACTAAAACTACTGGGAAGGATAACAATATATGGATGAACAACTTCTTCATTACAATGAGAGTATCACTTGTTTGATAACGGTGTTATAACCTGTACCGAAACGTCGCTCTTATTGCAATGAAGAAACTGTTCATCCATATATTGTTATCCTTCCTTCCTTACCAATTTGGGCGGTGGGGTAGTCTTGTGGTTAAGGCGTTCGCTCGTCACGCCGAAGACCCGGGTTCGATTCCCCACATGGGTACAATGTGTTAAGCCCATTTCTGGTGTCCCCTGCCGTGATATTGCTGGAATATTGCTAAAAGCGGCGTAAAACCAAAACTCACTCACTCTCACTCCTTACCAATTTCTCAAAGAAATCACTAAAACTACTGCTGCGTTACTGTTTAGCGTTAATTCTACAGCTACAGCTGCAATAACTATCACAGCTGTTACTAAAAATACAGCGATTGCTTCTACTACAGCTGTTGCTACTTCTACAGCTACCTCTAATTCTGCTACAGCTACTACTTGTAGTTGGTGACACTACTACAACCACCACTACTACTATTACTACTACTACTACTACTACTACTACTACCTCGACCATGAATTAATACAGTACACAACGTTTATTACGTACTGACGGATGTCACGATCTGGGGGTTTTCGGCCCTATATACTTTATATATATTTTAGTTGACATGCCTATACTGAACTACTGTTGTAACGAACGCTAACTACTGTTGTAACGAACGTTAACTACTGTTGTAACGAACTAAACTCTGCTCTACTTTTAAGCTCGTTATGACCGTAGGTTACTGACAGGTATTTCCGTTAGTGTTGTATGCATTTATTTTTAATATGCTCAGTATGCGAGCCGCGGAACTGACTTGAGCATGGAGCGTGGAGTCTTGCTTGGCAATGAATGTTTAACATGTGATTATCACATGAACTCGTCCTGTACTAGGAATCTGCTTTAAATTATCACAGGTTAAAGTCGGGGCAAATCCTCCATGGTACACATTACACTCATAAAACAATACATTACATGCATGACACATATACACAGAACCGATTTGGTAATGATGATATTAGGCAGACATAAATATCGATCATATAACAACACAAAGCGGGCAACAAAAGCCAAATTCTAAGTCAGCTTACATTGTTACAATCAGACACATATACATATAGTAGCATTCTATGCAGAAGTCCGAGACATCGAAACGGAGAGTAATAAGACCACTTATATAGCGCTGAGCTCCACGCCGCACGGCCATGCTCTAAGCGCATACAACATGATGCACATTATTACCCCAGTTAACCCATACTGCCTGGTACCCATTCACTGCTGGGTGAACAGAAATTTTTGAACTGACACACTTGTGGAGAGACCACATGGGTAACATGCGCTTCGTTGTGGAGCAGGACTGATGTCCTTGAAATTTACAGGAGAGATCCAAACACGGTTACAATCCAAGGACTCTCCGGGAACAACTTTGCTTAACTTCTACTTATTAGTGACCTGGGCCCTATGCCCAAAACCACACACCACTACACTAGTGACATTACAAGACGTTCTCATCCATACCTGTGGAAATGCATCAGTTATGTTTCAGTAGCTGATAATCAGCTTGAAAAAGACTGTATGGCGTTAAAGCTTGTTAACCAACCGTCTGCATACAAATCCAATACACCTGTCGAAATACTTCTTAGATACTAGTATCTTGAGCTCTTAACCCGACAACGCAATAAACTGTCTGTCCCATTGAAGCTGCTTGATATCCCTTATAAAATAACCAAATATTCTTTTGCCACTTTAAGTCATTATATGTTAAAAAGAAAGAGCACTTAGGGTCATTTATGACTTTTTTTAATAGACTTATGTTCACTAAAACATTGTTATCCTTAACACCAGTTCAGAGAAGACATTCGGTTAGAACTATGCTCCCAATGATCAATAAGTGCATATGCATCGTTTCTTTTTCCTGTGAGTATACATAGAACATGTTTACTAAATAACATTCTGAAGTTAGGGCAGCCCATTCTAAAACACAGACCTAAACTTCAGACCTAAGATCACCCTTTACCGATCCTGATATGGCAATGGCTGCCCTCGCAACTGTATCGAATCTGGGCTGGCTATGCCGAGCAATATGTAAGAATCTAGCAATCTATATGAACTGCAAGATTCAATCACTGATAGATTACATATATACCCGGGAAAACGTTAAGTTCAATGCCTGCTTTCTGTAGATGGTCGCAAGTACTTGGTACACTCACAGAAGAGGGACATTACTAAAACCTAAAATGGTGGTCGAATAACTCATATTGTACCGTTACGGTTATGTAACAAGTCATCAGATAAACGATTTTGGTTCGATTTCCATTTGAGCATGGTACTTCCTATACAAAGACTATTGTTCCGAGAGAAAATTCAAGTTAAGATTTTAATAAACGTTCTTCTCGAAGGAAATATAACGTCATTTGTGCTTAACATTTTCCAAGGTAAATAGCAGGCACATATTAACACAAGCAGAAGCAACTAAAAGTTAAGAGTACACATGATATATAATAATTAACATACTATTGCTATGTCATGCATCCAATATACTTTGATTTTTAACACGAATAATTATATTTATTAGCTGTTAATTTGTTATATGGCCTTAAATGTACGGAAACAAATGATCCTTGCATTTTGGTAGACATATCCTCTACACTCCCAAAACGGGATTCAACGTAATTTCCGACTGTCATGCATTTGGGTCTGTCACCTGACCATTTCTGGAAACTATACTTTGTGTTTTCGAAGTGCTGTCACAATCTTAATACAGACAAAGAAGAAGGAAAACAGACAAAGAGTTAAAAAATATGCCCAAGTTCAAACATTTAAGATGGCCAAAGTGTGCGCCGGTATTTCTGATTCGACACAAATTTCCAAATTGTTCCACAATCTCGTGTGACAATGATGAGCAGGAATAGCACTGTGATGGCGTAGGTTCGGAATGATTGTCAAGGAAACCTTCGTAATTATTAGTGATCTTCTCATGCATGAAAGGTAGCATGCATGTGCTTCAACACAAAGACGCTAAAATATCATCGCCATGCTCCACCACCATCACAGCAACATCACAGCTCCACCACCACACAGCACAGTTACACCACCAGCACCACATCATCAGCTACACCACCACAACACACAGTTACGCCACCAGCAACATCACAGCTACACCTCCAGCAACATCACAGCTACACCACCAGCAACATCACAGCTACACCACCAGCAACATCACAGCTACACCACCAGCAACATCACAGCTACACCACCACCACAGTTACACCACCAGCAACATCACAGCTACACCTCCAGCAACATCACAGCTACACCACCAGCAACATCACAGCTACACCACCACCACCAGCAACATCACAGCTACACCACCAGCAACATCACAGCTACACCACCACCACAGTTACACCACAAGCAACATCACAGCTACACCTCCAGCAACATCACAGCTACACCACCAGCAACATCACAGCTACACCACCACCACAGTTACACCACCAGCAACATCACAGCTACACCACCACCACCACTACATCACAGCTACACCACCAGCAACATCATAGCTACACCACCACAGCAACACCACAAGCAACATCACAGCTACACCTCCAGCAACATCCAGCTACACCACAAGCACACCACCACCACAGATACACCACCACCAACATCACAGCTACACCACCACCACAGCTACACCACCAGCAACATCACAGCTACACCACCAGCAACATCACAGCTACACCACCAGCAACATCACAGCTACACCACCACCACAGTTACACCACCAGCAACATCACAGCTACACCACCAGCAACATCACAGCTACACCACCAGCAACATCACAGCTACACCACCAGCAACATCACAGCTCCACCACCACCTTAGTTACATCACCAGCAACATCAACAAAGCTCTATATGTTCAAGACATACTGATCTGAAGACGAGCAAGTGTCAGAATGACCCATACTACATATTTTCTTGTGTCCTTTCTTCCAAGCCTGCTTCTGACACGCCGTTGAGCAGTACCACGCCCTCTTGCACTTGGAGCACTGGGGGAACTTCTTGCCCTCGTCGGCCGACTTACCGCACTGGGTACACGCCATGGGCCCGTCCCCCTCAAAGTTACATCTGATACACCTGCACCAGAAGTTGTAGGACCGGTACAGCCAGGCTCTGCGTTGTCTACGGGGCATGGTGGTGTTTATATAGGTGATGCACACCTCTTCGCCCTTCTTTATCCCTCCGCGGACGCGTACCCCTACGCCAGGTTTACCATCAACAACATAGTCCATCACTTCCGCGCTGTTTGCGCACGAGTGGTTCATACATGCGTGAAGGGGAAACATACCGGCGAACTCCCCTTCCGGGGGATCAGCTGGTATGAATTTGGCGATGCCTTTCCATCTGGGATTGTCTCTGAATCGCTCGATGAAAATTCGTAGTGGATTTCGGGAGTCGGAAAACGCTTGGACGTTGCACGTGGCTTGGAAATATCTCCCGTCAAACTCTCGCTTTGTGATTTCGTATTTCAGTCCGTCGCCAAGATCTTTGAAGATCTCTATCATGAGTTGAAACATTTTGGGGATGACATCAGCGTTACTTGAAGAGCCATAGGCAATGAATCTGAAATATGTGTCACACATAAAGTAATAATGTACCAGATGTTATATTTGGGATTACACTTTCTTAGAACAGGTGAACTTGAAGTACTTTTCGTGTTCAGTACTAACATGGGATTCGAACCCAGACTCTGAGAGTGTGCCACCAAATAGCCAGCACACAAAATCAGCGCTCTAACCCACTTAACCACGGAGTACTAGAATTTGCACTTTACTAAGATCCCAAACATAACGTTTATTGCATTTGACAAACTTCTGAAATTATTATTAAGAAATAGTTATCATTATCATGGATTATGTTAACATTTCAGTAACATTCATATTCAACGAAAAGACAAATCTAATTCCCAAGAAACCTAAGTTATCATTTCCGTTGAACGGTTCATGCTAATAGAAAACCCTTGAGGATTTTATCTCAATACATTCACGATCACGATAGTATAATAACGTTCTATTATATGACTATTAACAATTAACACATACTTTATAGAAGGCACACTATGCCAGGGATGAAACTCCATGTTAACGTTCAAAACAATATTCAGAACTATTTTAATGTGGGTGTAAAACGTATGTTAATGTATATATATTAAGGCCACTCTACTGGTTAGTTATTCATACTGATGGCAGTATGAGAACAGTGGGGTTATCAAATGGTATACAAAGGGTGCAGGGGCTTCCTTCTATAACGCGGTACATGGGGTTTGATCTACATATATTATATCGTTACGGGTTGACAGTTATTCTGGTCAATGAAGTGATTGAAAAACATGCACTAGGTGTAAGATTATCGGTGGTGCGCCATGTTTGTTGAAACACACTAACGCACCATGTTGCTGTAACAGACTGTAGTGCGCCATGTTGCTGGAACAGACAGTGGTGCACCACAGACTAATGCACCATGTTGCTGTAACAGACAGTGGTGCACCACAGACTAACGCACCATGTTGCTGTAACAGACAGTGGTGCACCACAGACTAACGCAACATGTTGCTGTAACAGACAGTGGTGCACCACAGACGAACACACCATGTTGCTGAAACAGACAGTGATGCACCACAGACCAATGCACCATGTTGCTGTAACAGACAGTGGTGCACCACAGACGAACGCACCATGTTGCTGAAACAGACAGTGGTGCACCACAGACCAATGCACCATGTTGCTGTAACAGACAGTGGTGCACCACAGACGAACGCACCATGTTGCTGTAACAGACAGTGGTGCACCACAGACGAACGCACCATGTTGCTGGAACAGACAGTGGTGCACCACAGACTAATGCACCATGTTGCTGTAACAGACAGTGGTGCACCACAGACGAACGCACCATGTTGCTGGAACAGACAGTGGTGCACCACAGACTAACGCACCATGTTGCTGTAACAGACAGTGGTGCACCACAGACTAACGCACCATGTTGCTGTAACAGACAGTGGTGCACCACAGACTAACGCAACATGTTGCTGTAACAGACAGTGGTGCACCACAGACTAATGCACCATGTTGCTGTAACAGACAGTGGTGCACCACAGACTAACGCACCATGTTTCTATAACAGACAGTGGTTCACCACAGACTAACGCACCATGTTGCTGTAACAGACAGTGGTGCACCACAGACTAACGCAACATGTTGCTGTAACAGACAGTGGTGCACCACAGACTAACGCACCATGTTGCTGTAACAGACAGTGGTGCACCACAGACTAACGCACCATGTTGCTGTAACAGACAGTGATGCACCACAGACTAACGCACCATGTTAACTGACAGTAACAGACATGTTGCCAGTGGTGGTGCACCACAGACTAACGCACCATGTTGCTGTAACAGACAGTGGTGCACCACAGACTAACGCCCCATGTTGCTGTAGCAGACAGTGGTGCACCACAGACTAACGCACCATGTTGCTGTAACAGACAGTGGTGCACCACAGACTAACGCCCCATGTTGCTGCTGTAGCAGACAGTGGTGCACCACAGACTAACGCACCATGTTGCTGTAACAGACAGTGATGTACTATGTTTCCGTAACAGACTAACGCACCATGTTGCTGTAACAGACAGTGGTGCACCACAGACTAACGCACCATGTTGCTGTAACAGACAGTGGTGCACCACAGACTAACGCCCCATGTTGCTGTAGCAGGCAGTGGTGCACTACAGACTAACGCACCATGTTGCTGTAACAGACAGTGATGTACTATGTTTCCGTAACAGACTAATGCCCCATGTTGCTGTAGCAGACAGTGGTGCACCACAGACTAACGTCCCATGTTGATGTAACAGACAGTGGTGCACCACAGACTAACGCCCCATGTTGCTGTAGCAGACAGTGGTGCACCATGTTTCCGTAACAGACTAATGCCCCATGTTGCTGTAGCAGACAGTGGTGCACCACAGACTAACGCACCATGTTGCTGTAACCGACAGTGATGTACTATGTTTCCGTAACAGGCTATTGCACCGTGTTGCTGAAACAGACTGAATCTTTATAAAGAGTGTTGCATTAATTTAGGAGGAGAGTATTGTAGGAATGGTTTAAAATGAAAGTAGGGACAATAAAATGGGGGGGGGGGGGGTCGAGAGGCGGACGAGGGATGTCGTAGGTGCAGAGTGAGAAGAAAACAAAAACCTTTTGTCACAGTATTTACCATGTTAAAGTAAGTTTCGTTTCGAAAGTACAAAATATTCCTTATGATGCGTGACGTTGCCTAATGATTTGCTAGGATATCCAGCACATTATTAAAAATAGTTTCCTTATAAATTAGCTCTCGAATGCACTGCTACTAGTGTTTTCTATGATACTTTTGATCATCTTCATTTATATTTAGAAGGTAAACATAATAAATGCAACAAAAAAGGAAAACATATACCTGTTAGTACCATGCTCCAGGAAATTAAAGTTAGAAGTGGAGAGGAAATAAAATTCTTAAATCACCGCCGCAGTGGAGCTTGGGCCATGCTCCAATCAGACTTTATTGGGATGGATCTTCCTGCCTTCTCAGCCAATCGCTTTGCTTCACATGCTATAGTTCCCCACATCCTGACAAGAACAAAGGGAGAGAATGACGCGTTCCACCACCCCTTCCAGCACTGACCGTCGCCACCCTTCAGCGATTTGTAATCGTCACAGACTTCATAGAGCCTGTTAATGGTCTTGTTTACTGAAGGGCACACTACCCTGTGATAGGTAGTCCACGCCTCGTCCCTACACTTTATACTGCAATATATTTCTCGGGAACAACCCTGACATGGGTGAATTTTTCGTTTCGGCCAATAATGGGCGATGGCTTTTTTCAGTTCCTCATTTTTAAGATCTGCGGGTGTGAATACCCCTTCCGGTTTCAACATGGACACTGCGCATTGGCAACACGCAGGGACGTCTTGGGTTGCTAGAGTCTGGGCTAGAATTACTGGTTTGTCAGTCAAAATGATATCGTGATTTCTCATATCTTTCTTCGCCTTCACAGCACGGCCATATTGGTTGAAGATCACATCGGCGTTGGTTTTGGCCGCTAGGGGGCCATACAATCTGGCAACGCGGATCGTCTGGAACAAGATGGCGGCCTCCTTGTTGTCCTTGTCCTTGTTGAGCTGTGTAGAGCGCCTCAACCATGTCTCCGCCATCAACGGTAACTCAAGTCCAGCCAGGATCTTGCCTGTCAATTAACATAATATCAACATGGAACAAGTCAGACTACTTTGGGTTTTTCTGGGGGTATTATGTTACCTCATCTTGCATTATTGAACAGTTATTGATAAAAAAAATACACCTTGATTTTACATGGACACTTTCTCAATATTGTATATTTGAATTGTACAGTTCTTGTCTAAGTGAACATGATCCTACGCAATTCAGCAATGTTCCAGCAATATCACCGCGTAGGGGCATCAAAATTCAGTTTCATTCATGTACGTTGTAAGGATGTTCGGGTGGGGGATTTGTTTGGGTCATTCTGTTTGTTTGTTTGTCGGTTGATGGTGAACGCCGCACTCAGCAATTTTCCAGCTATATGACGGCGGTCTGTAAATAATCCTCTCTGGACGAGACAATCCAGTCACTGACATGATGAGCACCTTCCTATGCAATTGGGATGGGATGACTACCCGTTAGTCGCCTCTTACGACAAGCCTGGGTTGCTGAAGACCTATTCTAACCCGGAACTTCACGGGTCTCAAATTGCTAACAGTGCAATAATGGTATCAACTGAAAGTTATGTAATTCATCCCCATTAGTCGTCTCTTACGACAAGCATGGATTGCTGGAAACCAATTCTAATTCAATTCTTCAATGAGAATACGATGGCATGCATCAATCAGTTAGGCGAGACTGATTCCGAATGTCGCCATTTACGACAACCTCTTCTTCACAGAGATGCGCGAGTGAACTAACTGTTTAACATTAGGGACTAACACCGATTAATAACATATAAGAGCAGAAAGCAAAAGAAGCAAACCCAGAGATCACTATTTCTTTAGTATTTACCACTCCTCCAAACAAAACCCATCCACCTTGTTAGAACAACATAGTCCGTAATAATGTATACCTCATATCGTTCATAAAACAGAAAACATAAGTCAAAACTGTCTGACTGAGTGCGGTTTTACGCGCCTTTTAGCAATAATCCAGCAATATCATTTTTACCCATGTGGGGAATTGAACCCGGGGTCTTCAACGCTTTAACCATTAGACTACCCCAGGGCCCTTACACAGCCAAGAATGTCTTTCAGTATTTCCCTCCAGTCCTGACCTTGGTGTTTTCAGAGCATACAACAATGAACTGTTGTGGTGGTCATAGACAGCCTCAGATACAACTCATACTAAACGATGCTACCCAGGTACAAGATCGCAGACTTCCCTACACTTCTGGAGCTTAACATTCCCACACCTTTCTCACAAACTCACAAGTGCTGAAAGTACATGCACTCGTTTGCCACTTTGTGTGGAGCCATTTGTTCCCATGTTCCTGGTACAACGCGCCATCACAGAGCAGTTTTGCCTGTGTGTGCTAGCCAGCCAGAGCATGCAGGCTGTATCAATATTAGCCCGACCCCTGACCTTCTCCCGTTGCCAGACATGTGCTCCGCGTTTATATCAACGATAAGCAATTACCAGAGAACACAAACAAACCGTCTCTGCCACGACGTGAGTTGATAGTCACAGTTACCTTCTGTGGGAACACTGCTTTGAAATACTAAGTAAAGCAGAAACAACCTTAACCTTTTGGAAAACAAGACAACGCAAAATAAATGCTATCAAATAATTCAGAGAACAATTTGCGCAAGTTAATTCAGTGTACATCGTGGATAATTTTGCAACCTCCTGTTTGGAATATTTTTTTTTTTTTTTTTTTGGTAGTTGTTAGAAGGTTCATGGAAGTGATCTTCATGGGATGTCGCTGAAAGAAGATTAAAAGGATTTGCTCTCTTACTGGGTTATTTTTAAAAAATAAATCTCTTATTAGAATCACGCTGTGTAATAGTTGGAAACATTTATAGGAACGTCTTCTTATGTGGAATGTTTTGTGAAAGGTGCTTTCTTGCAAATGTTTCCATTAAATACATAGTATGATTTTGACAGTACTCGACTCTAAAAAAGATTGTATATCCGAGAATGGAAACATGTTATCATGATCATTATTTGCAGTATAGATCAGTCGAGACCCATCCCCACTCCACAAGGATGACAGACACGCGTGCCCTGTCGCCGGAAGTGACACAATTTGCTGTAGGTGCCAGAAACCAATCGTCAGTCCGAATTCTAAATAAGTGACCCGTGAAGATGCGGGGTAGAATAGGTCTTAAGCAACCCATGCTTGCCACAAAAGGCGACTATGCTTGTCGTAAGAGGCGACTAACGGGATCAGGTGGTCAGGCTCGCTGACTTGGTTGACACATGTCATCGGTTCCCAATTACGCAGATCGATGCTCATGCTGTTGGTCACTGGATTGTCTGGTCCAGACTCGATTATTTACAGACCGCCACCATATAGCTGGAATATTGCTGAGTGCGGCGTAAAACTAAATCAATCACTCACTCACTCTAAATAAGTCCTGATGATGTTTCTTAGTTGGTAGCGTGTACAAAGTGTTTGGGTTTCAACAAAGTGTTTAAAATGTCTCACATCTGCATCGTTCTATCTTTCCTTCCACATAGAACTTACCCGTGAGATCAGGGCTAGAATATTGGTCTTCAGTAACCCATGCTTGTCGTAAGAGGCCACTCAGGCGATCGGGTGGTCAGGCTCGCTGACTTGGTTGACACATGTCATCGGTTCCCAATTGCGCAGATCGATGCTCATGCTGTTGATCACTGGATTGTCTGGTCCAGACTCGATTATTTACAGACCGCCACCATATAGCTGGAATATTGGTGAGTGCGGCGTAAAACTAAATCAATCACTCACTCACTCTAAATAAGTCCTGATGATGTTTCTTAGTTGGTAGCGTGTACAAAGTGTTTGGGTTTCAACAAAGTGTTTAAAATGTCTCACACCTGCATCGTTCTATCTTTCCTTCCACATAGAACTTACCCGTGAGATCAGGGTTAGAATATTGGTCTTCAGTAACCCATGCTTGTCGTAAGAGGCGACTCAGGCGATCGGGTGGTCAGGCTCGCTGACTTGGTTGACACATGTCATCGGTTCCCAATTGCGCAGATCGATGCTCATGCTGTTGATCACTGGATTGTCTGGTCCAGACTCGATTATTTACAGACGGCCGCCATATAGCTGGAATATTGCCGAGTGCGGCGTAAAACTAAACTCACTCACTCACTCCACATAGAACTGACACGTCGTGATATGACTGTTGTTGCATTACACCATACTCACCCACAAAATAACCTGATTTATTCGTCTACTCTTACCTCCAAGAAGCCACACTTCCGCCGACCGCACAGATTCGGAGAAGGAGTTGACGGTTCTGAAGGCCTCTCTGTAATCCTTCTGTTCGTACAGAACCTCAATCCTGCCCTTCCAGTTTTCAAAGTTGGTAGCGTCATGCTCTAGAGCCGCCGTGAACTCTTCTAATGCTTCGCCCAAAGCACCTTTGGCTTTAGCCTTCAGTCCTTGAATGAGACGCGCACGAGACAGCTCTGGATTCGGCACCAATGGGGTTATATTCGGCGCATCGAACAACTTCCATGTCTCCATTATCTCCTTCTCAAGTCTCTCCACATCGTCGTCTCCGGGATATCGCTCCTGGGAACACATTTTCAAGGCATCATAGTTGGACTCTGCCTCTTTGTCCGCAGCTTCGTACTGAGTGACAATGGCGTGTTGTAGATGTCGCAATCCGGCCGCGATGGCTTTGTCGTCAGCGTTGACGTCCAAGCCTGACTTGTAGGCTCTGTATGCGTCCTCAAACTTTCCTCTCATGGTCAGGGATTGTCCTTGTACAAGGTAGCCAGTCACGCACAAAGGGTCTCTGGTTGTGCATTTCTCTGCTTCGATCGTTGCCTCCTCGTATCTTTCCAGGCCAAGCAAGCACTGGGCTTTCTTTAGGTAAACTTCTGTCGTACACTCGACATCGTTGCCTTTATCTATCTTATCGTAATAAGACAATGCCTTCTCAAAGTCATTCGCACCGAAGGCGTTCTCCGCAGTCCTCAAACAGTCTGCTAGAGACATTTTCGGGTGTTGTCTTTCAGCCTTGATCCTACAAAGAAATACAACATTAGAAATTACAAGCACTTGTAGATGATCTTATATTATAATAAAAAATATAAAATAAAATAATTTAATAAATATAACTGTCATTGTGGCAGTTGAAAAGTTTAAGCCGCTTTCAGCAGTATTCCAACATTTTGAAAGCGGGAGGACACTTGAAATATGTATGTATGTATGTATGTATGTATGTATGTATGTATGTATGTATGTATGTATGTATGTATGTATGTATGTATGTATGTATGTATGTATGTATGTATGTATGTATGTATGTATGTATGTATGTATGTATGTATGTATGTATGTATGTGGCGTATAACACCATTCACTCAGTAATTACCTCAATACAGCAGCGTGTGTGTCTGTGGCTTAAAGAATTATTCCACTACTAAGGTTATGATAACAAGGATGGTTTAGCATGTCTTTTTATGGCGTTATAACTGTGTAAATATATGATACAAAACCATTTCTATAATAATAAGAAACATCGACTAGAAGATGAAGCTGCCGAACCACTCCGACTACGTCAAAAGCATGTGTTTATTTATCACTATAGATGAAGTGTTGACGAAAGCATGTGCTTATGAATCACTATGGATGAAATGGACAAGAGCATGTACTAATGAATCACTATGGATGAAATGTTGACAAAAGCATGTTCTTATGAATCACTATGGATGAACTGGACAAGAGCATGTGTTTATGAATCACTATGGATGAACTGTTGACAGAGGTATGACATGCTCATTGATAATATGGTGAATATAAGCGACGATAAATCTTATGCTGAAGAAAACAAATCAAATTTCTATTATCCTTGGATTTAGGATAATGTCAGGATATCATGACCCACTGGTTGAACTTGCATCCGTCACACACATGCAAAGGCGAGTAAAATGTTGACGGAATTTTGTCATAAGACTTGAAAGCCTGGGCCTCCTTTCACAAAGCTCTAAATTGATCGTAAGTCTCTAAGGTAACCTTAGTGCAATGTTAAAGAATGGGAGTTAAGGTTAACCTTAGTAAAGGTTGCTTCGTGAAAGGAGCCCCAGACTGAGACTTTATTGTTGTGACGCTGGTAACCTATTAAACACTTTTGAACAAGAGTCGTACGGCGTTCCACTATTGGATTGCTTAAGTCATCCCATCTCAAACATAAGTAGTATTTGTTGTCACGCATAATCGCTATGCATAGATCTGAATGTGAAACAGGTGGTACTGTTTCGAGGGTCTCGCTTATTTCTAGCTAAGGGGCGGCGGGGTAGCCTAGTGGTTAAAGCGTTCGCTCGTCACGCCGATGGAACGGGTTCGATTCCCCACATGGGTACAAGGTGTGAAGCCCATTTCTGGTGTCCTCGCCGTGATATTGCTGGAATATTGCTAAAAGCGGCGTAAAACCAAACTCACTCACTCACTATTTCTAGCTAAGGTGGTAAAGTCTGTGGACGCGAAATAGCTTTTGTTGGCCATTATTGAATGATATCAAATCAACGATGTACTTGTTTTACATTTTCCATCCGAACAGACATTCCGATTCCTATGGATGACGTAACAGATCAGCAAGAGGGGACACAGTTGTGGCATGTGCATGCTGACGTCTTCTCTAAACGCCTCATCCCCAAATCTGATGTCTTTGTTGTCCGTGAACATGAAGTCATTTCATATGTTGTTTTCTCAGTAGACTTCAGACGATATTTGTTAGATATATTCCTATCGATGGACACCATCATGCATGAACATAATAATGAAAGGCCGAAACAAAGCTTGAGGAGATAGTATAGTGTTTTGCCTGTGCTGATCTGTTGGTATCTGGGGGTCTTTAGATGCTCCTCGGCAACACGTTATAAAAATAGTTTTCACGTCGAGACTTGTCTCAGGCGAAGATTACAGGTAGTTGGTGGAAAAAATCACGAAACTCTCTGGCATAGCAATTATCGCGTCTGATCTATGAAGTTAAGATTGGAAGAAAATAGATCAGTGGCGTGAGCCCGTTGGTGCCATCTTGAAGATCGTAAAGGGGGAATAACTGCACATAAAGTCATCTAGCATTAACTACCTCCCCTTCGCGGCAAACTGATTAAACTGTCGGACTCAATGTTATAATACAAGTTCTCCTAATCTTAAAGCCTTGGCCTTTTCAGACTTATCTCTTTTGAATCATTATACATAACTTCTTTGAGAGGCATTTAGAAGTTGGGGCAGTAAGGAAGGATAACAATATATGGATGAACAACTTCTTTATTGCTGTGAGAGCTGTGAGAGCAGCACAGCAAGAAAGAAGTTGTTTATCCACTGTTATCCTTCCTCATTATACATAGACGAAGGAAATACATCGAATCTACCTCATAAATTGAAATAATACAACATGACGCGAAGTCCGGTTCATCTCCAGTTTTGAGTGAGGTTAAAGAATATGTGTGTTTATAGGCAGGGGGCGTAGCTACCAATATTAAAAAAGCCTGGGTTGTTGCTAAAAAGGTTGGGCAAGCCTCAAAAATATGAAGCTTTGCAAAAATATGGCTTGCTACGCGCCTGATAGGATAACGCCGTACTCAGCAGTATTCCCAGAATCACGATGCCAATTCGGAAATAATCGATTCTGGATCAGACAATCCAGGGATTGATATTATCGATAACACGCAGACTGGGCACAATAACGCATTCATCCAAGTCACCGTTAACGACCGGAATACCTTGCTGGAACATATTGTTATCTATACGTCCCCATGGGACACATGAATGAACGCATTGCCGCCATACAGCCGAGCATACCAAATTTGGGAAAAAAGGTTGTTCACGTTTGTACTTACACTAACGCTTAGACTCTGAATGTATGTAATTTTGATAGTAACAAACAAACCCATATAAATTGAAAAGGAGTCCCAAGGAGACCAGAGATTCAGAACCTGAGGAAATCTAGACTTACTTCATTTAGGGCTTTAGCATTACAGAGAGGGCTTGGCAGTAGGAAACATAATGTGGTTCAGGGACTGTGAGACAGACTAGTTTGTACTGAGCTTCTTCCCTGCTACGTTAACAATCGGATCTCGGGCAGAAGGTAAACGGCAATTTTCCCCTTGGAGTTTTTTTGTGTAATTGAAGAGATAGATATTTTTGGCTACAACGAGATATCCGAGCATTGCGTGTGTATGTAATAATTAATAATGCAGAGTAAATAGTTTACAATATGTAAATCATTAACGAGACTGGGCTGATAAGACTAACCAAATGGGACTCAGAAGCGACGGAAGTGTTCGCCATTGGTCTTGTAACAGCTCTGTCAAATCGTAACAGGGAGAACAGGTTTTCCAATTTACGCCAGAGCGTCATGGACATCTGCCAAAGTCCTCGTTCCCGAGAATTGCAAAAATACAACCCCTATCTGTTGACAATAGGAACCACACTGCTGCACATGCCAGTCACTTCCACGGCATCCTGATCTTGGTAATTACAGCTCGGCAAGAGATGATGCCATGGATTCTATCCCTCTAGCACAACTATCTCTGACGTATTCCACAGTTCAAACACATCAGAACATATTGATATGAATGCGATACACAGAACCCATCATTACCACACTAAGTTATTTTAGTTTTAAAATGGTACTCTTTGTTTACCTAAATAACAGGCAGTACTTACGTAAATCTTGTTTCGCTGTGGCATGAGCTGTCTCCGTGGTATGAGCTGTCTCTACCAGGTCGCTACCATGTTGCGGTTCCAGATCTAGCGACGTTATAAAGCTATTACCGAGACCACGCGTACTCAATAACTGACATCCCAGTATCTTCTCTACAGCAGATCAAATATCCCCCTTCCTCACACTAACGGACTTCCCAGCGCCACCTGGAGGCAGATAATGGCACCACGCATCCAACACGTGCGTCGATATGCAGGGGAAGGGTATCGGTTACCCGTTCGTATCGCAGGGGGCAGGGACTGGTGAACTCTCTGTGTCTGTGGGAGAACCAGGCGCCCGTGGGTCGAGATGGGTTTAGGGTTGTTAATATTGATGTGCACATGGGGTGGGTGTTATGAAAGCTGTGCTGAAAGCTCTCTGTCGGAGAGAAGACGCCATGTGGATTTAACATTGTAGAAAGTCTGTATCTGGATATTTCAACGTTCTTGTTAGACTTACGCTTACTCTCTAGAACATTCGTTTAGTATGTTACATCAGAAGCACATCATATGCTTGAGGATAGACTTGTACACGTCTTTAAGGTAAAATTAATAGTTTAAATGAAAATTTCTACAGACTGTCCGCTTATCTAGAATTGCCTCTTGAAAGGATATAGTTGAGTTGAGTTGAGTTGGGTTTTAGGTCACATCGGCATTTTTCCAGCCATATAGTGACGAGATCAAGCCTGAATTAATACGCATTTTAAGTCCAAAGTCCAAATGAGTTTTATTTTAAAAGCATATATATTCATTACATTGTTATTTAAAAACAGAAAATGGCATAGCACTAAATTCAAAAGCACGCAGTTCGTTATTCACTTTAAAGAATAGAATTACTATACATCCATGGGCTCAGCATTCAGTACAGCCTTGGTGCAAGGTTGGCTTTAGGACTATGTAGAATTAATGTCAGATTTGACATGGACATCTGACGATTCTCAGGAAACATATCATACAGCTTAATTTACAACTGATTTCAAACAAGTGACGCTTTAGGTTACAAACTCCGAACTCCTAGTCTCTGAAGTCATATATAATAATACCTTGATAGAAACAAAAGAAATCCGTTTAAACTGAAAAACGCAGCCGCAGTAAGATGGGAGATTGAGAACCTGAGGAAATCTAGACTTGCTTCATTTAGGGCTTTAGCATTGCAGAAAGGGCTAGGCAGTAGGGAATATAATGTGGTTCAGAGACTTGAGACAGACTACATTGTTTCAGGCGATACTTTGATGTATGTTTAATACCTCATTGCTTAACGCAACCACTATAAATATGTTATGATAATGATGACGTTCATTTTGCATCTGACCGGGGGAGCACCGAGATCTGGGATCATTATTCGTCCAAATAATTTGCTTACTTAACTGATCACCAATAATTACAGCGGAAGATGTTATCTCATTCAGTCTAATAAATGACGTAAACTGACACTAACGACCGCGCCCCCATCTCGGTATATACTCCCCCCATCCCCTAATTGAACCCATTTATGACACCACCGACCACAGATGCCTCTCACTATACATGTATCATTATGACAACAGTCAGACCGAAGACGCCAGACCCAACGACCCCTTCAAAGTTTCATCACAGAGTGATCTATCTATCTATCTGTCTGTCTGTCTCGGGTTAGAATTGATCCTCAGCAACCCATGGTTGTCATAAGAGGCGACTAACGAGATCGGATGGTGAGGCTCGCTGACTTGGTCGATACATGTCATCGTATCCCAATTGCTTAGATCGACGCTCATGACGTTAATCACTGGATTTTCATGTCCAGATTAGGTTATTTACATACCGCCGTCCTACAGATGGCATATTGTTTAATGCGGCGTTAAACAACCAAACAAAACAAACATAAACACAAAAAAGATATAACTGAACAACTTGTGTAATGGGTGTATTCCGGACAGATGAATCAAATTTCTTTCACTCATGCAGAATCATGATTTGAGATAGCAACTGGCAACAGTTCTTCAGGAGTCCTAAAGATTAATTATGCTGACATTGCAATAAGATGAGAATTTCCCCCAGCAACCTATGCTTGTCGCGAGAGGCGATCACATGAATCGGGTGGATGTTCTTGGGGAATTGGTTGTTTTCTGTCATTGTATCCCAACTGTGTGGATCAGTGCTCATGGTGACTATCACTGGACTGTCAGGGTTACATGTGCAAGAATCATGACCACTGAGCCTCCAATAGGGTTGCGTTCAGCGAAGCGTGTCCTCTATGATCACAAAGAAGGACGTTCAGAAAACCTCTAAAACTCCTATTTTGTATTATAATACAATACTACCCTGCTTCATGTCGTATTCACATTTATCTGTTGTTTTAAATGATATATTTTACATAATTTTGACATACCTGAAAATCCTGTTCCTTTTCGTTACAAATACATGACCTTGCATGTGCAGTTAAATGCATGTACACACGGAAATCATGCATTGTGGGCTACTTTCACAGACAGACTGTCGTCATGGTGATCGGAAAGAAAGTCACAGGAAATAAAATCACAGATAAAAGCCACAATTTTGGCTAGGAAAAAGTCACAGGAAAAAGTCACAAGATTGTGTGGCTGTCCAATCTCAGGATCTTCTGTGTTAATGTTGGTGACCGGACAAAATCCACCCCAAAAATTGCCACCCCGGACAAAATCCACCTCTTCTTAACAAAAAATGGACAAAATCCACCCTTCTCAAATTGCTATTGTTAAAAGTTTTAGTGTGTCCTGATCTTTGATCAAGTTGTTTAAGCATTGCAAGCATTGTTTTGATAGCAATTTTGGGGTGGATTTTGTCCGGGTGGATCTCCTGGATTCGTTGCTGGTGCTCAGGCATCCTCGGCATGACATACTGGACCTCTTTGTACATTTTCACCAGATTTTGTTCTTACGACTTGCATGCTTACTGTACATGTGTCCTGATGCTGTAAGAATAAATAAATTTTATTATACCAATGGCTTTTCATTAGAAACAATCTTATACGGAACGTCTTCCATGGACCCACAAATTCAATCACATATCTTAAAATCAGTCCATCTATTTATAATTGAAACTAGGCGCTTTAACTGAGCAAGTCATACACTAAAACCTATAATTCTCAAAGCTATACTACTATGGATCCCGACTGCAGATGCCATGAATGTATACAACAATCGTGATTTTAATTTTCCGACTACATGTCATACCATCTACTTTCATTTTAGATATCATCTTTTCTTGTCATGATACTGTTTCATATATCTATGTATATTGGAGCGGTCTTCACATAAGTTCTTTTGAGCTTGTTGACCAATCCAGTTCATGAAAATTCTGTCTTTGCTCTTTCATTAAATAAATATGTTTAAACCACATGTGTCCTTCAAATACTATGTTCAAACCACCTTTGTTGCTCTTAATAAAATCCATTATGCAAATGTGAAAGGACATGGCTACAAACATACATACTTATACCAAGTTTCTTCCTTCTCATGTTAGTTGGAGAAGGATAACAGAATTATATACTCTTCTTTTAAATATTCCTCCAGTAAGGTGTAATGAAAGATCTAACCTTATAAAGATTAACAGTAAGTACACATCCTTAAAGGTCACATGCAACCAAAAAATCAAACATAATTAAAACACAATTATCACTTCTTCATGACATATAATATACATTGCTGATTATGAAAAAACATATAAACAAAATTATAAGCGTACAATCGCAAATCAAAAGTGCAATATTTTGTACTTGGGTTTACTTCCCAAGAAACGAAGCAGCCGGGATACCGAACCCAGTCAGAGCGGGTGGGTGTGCACTCAAGTGTAACGGCTGGTTCATTTGCAGATGCCCTCACGGCTCATTGTGTGTGTATATATCATACATAGAGATGTTGGGTTTTGTAAATACATGCTCATTTTTTGTGTATAACATTTTGCAATCAACAGACATCATAACATGTCATGTGTACAAGTATCACACCTGCCTGTCTGTGTAATTACATAATGTGACAGAGACCGAACTCGGGCCATAAATCAATGCGTTTTGTTTATGGTGTAACAGTAAAGCCTGAAAGGTGTTAAGTTCAAATTGCATGTGGTCAGTGATAGAAGTTGTGTATTGAGTATTGTCATTAGCAGACAGGCAGGCAGACATATAGGTGTAAATAAAACAGACATTGAGTTTTGTCTATGACAACGACATATCTATATCACAGTTAGAAATTCTGTCAACGCTAAATAATGGCATTGCTTTTAAGTATCGAACTGAGAAAGTGACTCGGTAAGAAAAAACGTGTGGTCAGAGACCATATAATAGATTGTATGGTCTCTGGTGTGGTGAAATAGACAAATGAAATTATATTAACAGTTAAATCGGTAATCTTCTGTCCTAACTCGCGTCTGTGAAATATCAACAAAACATTAGAAAAATAGCTCACACCAAAGCCTTCACCGAGTATTCACCGGACAAACCGCTTCCAAGCTTCGCGAACCTATTTCACTGCGCATGTGCTATGAGCGCAGCCCAGCGCAGCGCAGAGCAGCCCAGTTGTTGAAACCACTTTTCCCCAAGCGCTGGGGAAAATAAGTGAATCGTTTGAACTCCGATTTCGCGCGGTTTTTTCATCGCGTTATTTGGATTGTAAGTTGAATTTGCATTTTTGATGATTTGTTTCGGTAAGTCCATACCGAAAGGTATCAGAATCTGCAAAGTTGTGTTTTACGTTGCATGTGACCTTTAATGTTTTCACAAAGACAACTCTCTTAATTACTTAGTTAACAGAGTGGCCTCTCCCACTCCCGGTTTCACGCACCAATTACCTCATTAATTATGTTATCATATCAGAAATAGAAGCTGTTATAACAATTGAGACATTTTACAACCCACTAGTATATGTTATATTACTAGTATATATTTAATTGTATTGTGATTTTTTATCCGTGACTTTTTTCCTGTGACTTTCTTTCCTACATCCGTCGCCATACAGTTGGGATATCGCCGTGAGTGCGGCGTTAAATAATATAGCTAACAAACAAACTTTTGGAGACGATGTACGCCTCTCAATTTATCGGGTGATGACAGTTCAATGGAATTTCGTGACAGCAGTTTCTCTCTGTATAGAGAATCTCACCGAAGTGTCTTCTGATATAAAATATATCAACACGCGTTGATTAA